AGTTTACAGTATATGAGTAGTGTTATTTAATGGACTGATAGGACAACAAAGTGCCTCATTAATAATTATAAATATCATTTAGGTTCCTATGCTCTGTAGACATCTTTTGAAACATGTTGTAGAAATTAATTATGATAGAGAATTGACAATTCTATTTATATATGCAGTTAATGTTTCTCAGAAATGGAAGGATCAGTTTGGAATCCTCAATATAATCCTATCTGATGGTCAGCTGTAATGGGCTGATCCTAAATGGTCAATTTGTGGTCAGTTCATGGTCAGACCATGACTCCAGCTAAGTAGGAGAAAATTGGCTGATCCTGATTGGAATGTTCTGTATACATGAGAGTCAGATTACAATAGATTTATGTGAACATAAAAAAAAATGTTATAGAAAATATCAAAATAACAGTTCCCACCCCTAAAATCGTGTACTGTTTCATTTCAGAGACAGCTAAATTTTGTTTATGCAACACTCAAATAGTGTCGGTCTGTTCTAGTTAATTGTGTACTGAAGCAAACATGGCATGTAGGATATCAAACTATAATGTGAAAATTTTAAAAAGTCAAATATCAAAAATAAAGTTTTTTCATATTTGATCAGGAAAAGTGTAAAAACAAGTAGATCTATAGCAAGATTTCGTACAAAAGTTGTGGTCTCTTGCATGTAATTGGATATGACAAAAAATTCCCCAGACTAATTTCAAGGAACAAATACTTAATTTTTCATGTGTAAATTGTTCCATTAATTAATGTCATCAAAAAGTCATTGCATGCTAATCAATTAGAAAGCATTCATAATGGGTTTCACAGACATTCATTATAGGAGGTAATATAATATATGTGTCAACCGTAATTTGGGTATAGTTACCGTATTTTAACACATTCATAGTACATGTGTGCAAGTCTGAATACTTAACACATGTTAGAAGTGGAACCACAGCTTTTTATCTGTTGTAGACAACATGAGAACCGAAAGTTAATTTTTAATTAGCCATGTGCTGGTTTAATCAGTCTGTTTTAGCCTAAATTCAGTAATCGGGTTATCTTTCCTGTTAAAGGACCATAGTCTCCCTTGTTAATTATGTTAGGTCGTTCATACACAGATTAGCTTTTGCACATGAAGTAAATTTTCCTTTTGCCATTTCTTTATAGGTGGTTGTCTACCGGCCATGATGGAGGTGTGTAATTTTTTGTGGACTATGAAAACTGATAGCTGATCAGGCAGGCCGGTAGTCATTATTTTAATTCATACATCTTCTTTCCACTGACCATCAATCCATTGGATATAACCTTTCATGTAAGTAGTGTATTGTTTTCTCAGTAGGTCTGTGCTAACGAACATTTTGTTCAGTAATGTACTAATTAATCATGAACCTTTTGCTTTCTTTATATTTCTTTTTCTGTTATCGTTCAGATCAGTATATTTTATTGATCCTAATTATAAAAGAAGTGCATGTATCTCTTTTTGTTTTGTCTGTTTTCACGTATATCTTATGTGCTGTTATTGTGAAGTTTTCAGAAAATTGTCTAATTTTATGCAGTATACATTTGTTAATATTGTATGTATTTACTATTAGTTGGATTTCAGACTCTATGAATACAGCGCGCTATTATTCTATACAACTGTTGATAGAGTTATTGCCCTTCGTTCAGTGTTAAAATGTTGGTATTGATAGGAAATTATAAATAGAGTTATTGCCCTTTGTTCTCTGTGTGTGACATGTATGTATACAAACGCCACTCTCACTTATCCAGTTAAAATGGGCATGGCGGCATGATATTCCATGATAAATGAACTCACCTCTTCTGGCTGCAGGAAATGCTATACATGTATAGTTCAAAATCTACAGTTTCATCACATTTTATCAAACACAAGACAGTGGTCAAATATTAAAAGATGATATTCAGCTAGTTATTTTTGCATAGGTATGGCTAGACCCCTCAAACTGCATGTACCAAATATTTTGCAATGCAGCCTTGGTCCCAGGCTATGCCTAGCAATTCTTTTGCAGGTTTAGCAAGTCCTACCATTTCAACTGCCTATGCAAAAGCTATAACACACATCTAAACATAAAGTTATGCCTCGACATGTTAGGGCACGGACTGATCTAGTAAAACTTCCTGATCTTGAATTGTAAAAAAAGTACTCAAGTATGTTGTACAAGCAGTAAAACGACATTACTGGTCAATTTAAATAAACTCTGTCAGCAAGGAAAGAACATGTACACAGTCCTGACAAAAAGTTGGGTTTTATTGAGTGAGTGAACTTAACTCTTTCTTTTATTCATATCTTCATACTTCATAATTTTCTTTTGTGAATTATTTGTTCTGTGATTGCTGATTTCTCAAAAAAAAAAAAAAAGAAGACAAATATGGACAAATGTCAAGTGTTTTGCCTGGAGCTGGCTGCTACCAGTAACCTTCATGGATTCTATTTGCATACCAGTCTTAAGTTAAATTCTACAGGTTGAACTTTTTTAATGGACTTTATTCAGTCTTACATGACCCAAAGCTAATATAAGGGCATGTGGCATTCAGATGTGTCAGATTCTTTTGAAAAGGAATTCATTGAAGTCTGTAGGGTAATATTTGTCAAATATTTAATTAATCAATATCTAGTGTTTGCATTGTTACACAGTAATACAAGTATATATTTTGTAAAATTGAACAAGGCAATAAAAGAAAATCAGCTTTTCAACCAGAACTGGACTTTAAAAAAGAAAAAAGAAAATTAGCTATGTTCTGATCTTTGATAATTGGATATTTCTATATACCAGCAATAGATATGTGGATGCCATATTTTAAATAGTGTTATCTGGTATTAAACCCATGTCTAGTAATAAGTATTCCTTATACATTGCTATTCAAAAGAATAACAAATAATTTCCCTTATCAGTGTTCTACAATAAGGTCAGGCCCAGTATGGCAAATAGCAAATTCTTTAAAATCCTACTCCTCCTGCAGGAATGATTAGTTTTGCCCAAATTTGGTCTGATGCAGTATAAATAGTGAATCTCGGCCCCTGAGATGAGAGGATCAGGGCCCAATAGGGGAAATAGAGCAAATTCTTTAAAATCCTTCTCCTTTCACAAGAATAATAAGTTTTTGCCCAAAATTGGTTTCAATCATTCTTGGTTGAAGAAGAATCAGTTTTGTATAAAAGGTTGATCTCGGCTCCCTGAGGCCCTTTGGGGCTTAAGGGGCCCAGTATGGCAAATAGAGCAAATTCTTTAAAACCCTACTCCGCCAGCAGGAATGATTGGTTTTGTCCAAATTTGGTCTGAAGCAGTATAAATGGTTGGCCTCAGCCCTCTGGGATGGAAGGGGTTGTGGGGAGGGGTTGGGGTTGGGCCAAGTAGGGGAAATAGTGCAAATTCTTTATAATCCTTCTGAATCATTCTTGGTTGAAGAGGAATCAATTTTATATGAATGGTTGATCTTGAGGTGGGGTACAATAGGTGAAATAGAGCAAATTCTTTGAAGTTCTGCCTCTTCTGTAGGAATACTTGGTTGTTGTTCAATTTGGTTGGAAACTTTTTTTGGGTGAAGGGAAATAAGTTTTTGTGTAGATGGTAGGTCTAAGCCCGTTGGGACTGGAAGGGTGGAATCAAACAGAAGAAATAAGGCAAATTCTTTAAAATCGTTCTTCTTATGTAGGAATGCCTGGATTCTGTCACAATTTTGTCTGAGATAAGATTGGGATCAATTTTGTATGAACAGTGGGTTTTGGCCATATAGGGTGGGAGGGATAGGGCCTAATAGTGGAAATTGAACAAATTCTTCCTGTGTTGGAATGATTCAGTTTTGTCAGAAGGTGATCTGAAGCATGGGTGAATTGAACTTGTTTTGTACTAACAGGACTTAGTAGGGGAAATATACAAGCGTTTTGAATAATTTTCCATTATTTTTAATCAATCAATTTCAGCAAACTATACCAGGTCAGCAATACAGGCCCTATGGGCCTATTTTTTAAAGCCACATTCTAAAACAGTATCAAACTGAAAGCCAAATTTGAGTCATAAATCAGAGCTGGTAGTGTAAAGATTACAGAAATGATATCATTGTATATACAAACAGATGGTCCTCTGTGCTAAGGTTGATAAATGTCATCATTGTGTCTTGAAATTAACTGTAGTATTGTAGTACATGTACGCTGTCTTCTGTCAATAACCTTTACTGCTTTTCCATTTATTGCAGAAATGTTGCTGGTATTTTAAAAGGATGCTCAAACAAGCTGTTAACATAAGGAAAAACTGTTGACATTTTTTCACCAAAGCATTTATTTAACCTATTATGTCCGAATTTTCTGAATTGTCCAAGAGCTTCATCAACCATTCATCCTTTTATTATCTCTGGGATTTTCTAGTCAGAACCTAGACAGCTGTCACTAGACTGAGTGACTGACAAATCTATACATGGATTCTAAGCAGAACTACAGCTGTACCTGCGAGACCTTCAGTCCAACCACTGGAGACTGTCAGTGATTACAAACAATAGTTCTAGGTACTTCAATATCACCAGGGGCACACTATCTGTAATATACCAGTGCACTGAAAACTTGGAGCATTTGCCGTAAAATTTGACCTGGACAGCCTTTATACTGGTGACTGTTGAGGTAAATCCAGACAATTTTACTAGATGCTCTTGTGATTTATGGTCACCTGGCTGTTGATGAATTGCAAATTTCGTGGAGGAATTAGCCAAGGGATCATTGCGTCTGATTTGCATGGTTGTCATTGAGTTGAATACACCACAAGGCAAATTTTTATGTCATTATCCGAAGATTGGAAACTGGAAAATTTGAATATCATCTTTTAATAGGATAGTGTACTTTTTATCATCTATTTTAATCTGTGATGAATTTCACTCAAGAAAATTAAAACCCAAAATAAGGAAATTGTGTAAAATGTCATATAAAGCAGATGGGCATACAATATGTTTGTCAGAGACGTGTAAGTGAAACGGACAAGACTAGTGCATGTTAAATACAATCATTGATGTATAAAAAAAAAAAGCGAACAAATCCTTCTGCGTTAGTCGCACTTGGAGAAATGAAGGTACGTCCCACCAGACTGATCAGGACTTTGTTTATGGTAATCCTTGTACTCTTTGTCTTCCTCAACATGCATGTGCTAATGCACTTTGAGCCGCGGAATGGCGACGAAATAAACAGATCACTGCTCCACAAACTCAGACTCCAAGGAAACTGGGGAGACACAGCACATGTGCAAACACGATTGTCAGATCTCAGCGATACCAAAAACACCAACGATAGTGGCGGATTAGAGGTATTCATACCAGTAAACCAATACAATAAGACGTTCCTTCATCGTGATATTGAGGAAAGTAATCTAACCCAGATTCGCCTCGAAGTGGACAGAGCCAATCGGGAACAATTTATACACAATCTTAATAAGTTTGGCTTAAAACTCAAATCAGACAGTGTTGTTATTGTTGTACAAGTCCATGATCGTTCCCAGTACCTCCAAATCCTCATTGATTCGTTACGAAAAGTCAACCAAATCAAGGATTCATTGTTAATATTTAGTCATGATGTGTACTCTGATGAATTAAATAGAATTGTGCGTTCAGTGGATTTTTGTCCGGTAAGTATCTTATATTCATATTTGTTTAGCTATCTCTCAAATTGATTCAATCCAAACTGATATAATCAACAAGTCACTTTGGCACGTTAGAAAATTCACCTCCATGATAAGACATTGGGAAAAACAAACGTGTCAGCTGTTAACGTTACACATTGTTTATTGTCATGTTTTCTTTTGATACGTGATATTAAGCAGTTTTTGCTGTATGACATTACCATTTCTAGTTTGTTAATCAAGAGAGATTGATTAATTTTCAAGCTAATTGTGTGAATGATCTTTAGATTGTGTAATGATCTTAAGATCTTGGTTTTTATCATGCAAGAGTTCAATGTAAGCACATTTGATTTTCTGCAATCGCTTGACAGTTCAGAGGAAGCAGAGTAGAGATGCATGCTGTTTATAGAATATACAGCATAATACATACAACAATTACTTAAGCACATGTGCTACCACTTTTGTTATACCAAATACCACTTAATGACAATTTTGATTTAAACCAGGAATAATGTATGTTATTTGTACTTTTTGTGAGAAAAAAATGGTGACTGAAAGTAAACGTACTGTAGTTCTAGTGTTTGACATTAAGACACTCATAGACAGGGAACCCAGTGTCAGGAACAATGGTTAACATTATCATTGTCTGTGTAAAAAAATTTAGTGTTCCCTAAGGCTTATCAAAGTCCATACAGTATGATAGTGGTACCTTACTGATAGCATGGGTAATTTTTTGAGATCTAAATGTCAAATATCAAGGTTGTCAATCCCATAGAAATAAAAGATTGGCTTTTATGGTATCATTTGAGCTTTTTCAGTTGGTGCTTCATTTCTAAATGGACTCAGTTTCATGACCTTTTCTTTAAATATTCCAATCAATAAGCTTTCTGATATTTGACATCAAGATACAATGTTAATGTTAATAGCTTTTATAAAACAATATATCTATATTGTTTTTTTTTTGTTTTTTTGCAGGTAATGCAAATATATTTTCCTGTCACACTTCAACTACATCCGAAGGAGTTTCCTGGTCAGGATCCTAATGATTGTCCACGAGACGTGAAGAAAGAGGAGTAAGATTCCTTATTTAACAATTTAGAAAGTTAGAAAGGATTGGACAGTAATTATAGGTTGTAAGCTAGATGAATATTTGTTTTCTAGTATTACTCTTTATTGTGTGCCATATTCATGTTGCAAGGAGCCAAGGTTGGCAACCAATTATCTTACTGAATTGTCAGTAGATTAATTATAGTAATTAACATTTACACAGTGATTATGTTATCTTTGTTACCAAGTGTAGGTGTTGTGTTATCCTTCATTGTCTCTATATCTTTACAGGGCATTAAAGAAAAAGTGCAATAATGCAGCTTTTCCAGATAAATATGGGCATTATCGAGAACCAAAATATTGTCAGACAAAACACCACTGGTTATGGAAAGTAAGTACTCATTTGGTGATATATTCATCAGAACTGATTATTACAATTTGTCTGAATCTTTTAATTTTTTTCATTTCTCTCTGTTCACAGTGTGAAAATTTGGGTAATGAAATGAGAAATAATTCAACACAATTTAATAATAATTTACCTCACTTTTTAGATTTTTTTTTTTTTTTTTTTTGAAAAATAAAATTCAAGTGAAGATATAAAATAAAAAATCCAAGTAAAAAATATTTTATTCAACATCACCATTTTCATCAACATTTTAAGAAATCATTTATCATATTTGTGTATATATATTTCATGTTTGATAAGAAACTGATTTAATAAAGTAAAAATTTCAATGTGTAAGAGTAATTTATGTTCTGTAAAATCATTAATTTTCTTGGGCGATTTATTTTTGTCTAATTGATATGATAAAGATATGATAAACGGATCAAAATTAAAATACATTTGTAGATTATACTACAAGTTCATTTTGTGATCAAGATTTTTATCCACAAAATCAAATGCCAAAGAAAATATATTTTTGGAAAACTACAAAATTTGAACCTCACAAAAATGTGTAATTTTCCAGCAATTATAGTTCTAATGAATTTCTTCTGAGGGTTGCCTGGGAATAACTTTTACAGACTTTGCAATAATAACAATGTATTGTAATATTGCTGTTTAATTTTGACAGTTGGACCGCGTCTTTGATAAGTTAGAAGTGATGAAGAACTACACTGGCCATGTTTTACTGCTTGAGGAAGATTACTATGTAGCTCCTGACATTATCACTGTTATACAAATGATGAATAATTTAAAGAAAAGGTTAGTATGTTTAGTTTTTCAGAGGACATTTTAACTATCAAAGGTCATTCAAATTTACAGATGTCATTTTGAATTTCAGAGGTCATTTAAGCTTTCAGAGGTCATTCTAATTTTCAGAGGTCAGTTTGACTTTTAGAGGTCACTTTAACTATCAGAGCTCATTCTTATTGATTCAGAGATCATCCAATTTTTAGTGGTATTTCAACTTTCAGAGGTCAGTTTACATTCAGAGGTCAGTTCAATTTTCAGAGCATCATTTAATTATCAGAGGTTGATTTAACCATTAAATGGTCAGTTTAAATTTCAGAGTTAAATTTAAGTAGCATAGATCAGTTTGAGAATCAGAGGTCAACTTAACTATTAGATGTCAGTTATCTTTCAGAGGTCAGTTCAGTTTTCAGAGCTTCGTTTAATCATCAAAATTTGAATCAACTATCAAAGGTCAATTTTACTATCAGAGGTCAGTTTCTATAACTTTCAGAAGTTAGTTATCTTTCAGAGGTCAGTTTGATTTTAAGCTTTCAGAGGTCAGTTTAATTTTTAGGGGTCAGAGGTTAGTGGAGATTCTGATTATACAACATGTATGATATTGTTATTGAAAGTAGCCACACCATATCAAACTACAATGCAATCCCAAAATTTCTGCTATCAGCCTATGGTGTCATATGGCTCTTGTTTTCAAGTCCTCTTCTTGTCTCATTTTCTGCTCTTTCCTACATATGAAAAATATTTTGTTTCAGTTGAACAACTTTTGGTAATACTTAATTAGGTCACCCAGATTATATATCATTATTTTTTTTAACTTGAATTATGTCTTAAATCAGGCATTATACATTAAATTTCTGTTTGTTGCAGGGATTGTAAAGAATGCAGAATGTTGACTGCTGGGAATTATGATAAAACACAAAGTTTTGTGGTCAACTCAGGCAAGGTTTGTATCCTGTTCTTTATACATTATAAATGCCATGCCTATTTAAAGGTACATGGTAGGAAACTAAGAGTGACCAGGTCCCAAATTTCTTCCTTCTGACTGCAGATTTGATCTTTTGACCTTGTCAATTCAAATCATGATATGAAATTATTCATACCTAGCTCCGGATGTTGTTAGAAATTCTAACCTCCTTATGTTCCCCCTGAGCTTGAAATCCTGTTCTACTAAGCTTTGATGTTGATCTTAACATTCTCTGACCTTGAACTCTTGTTCTGTTGACCTAAGGATGTGATCTGAACCACCCAGGCATGAACACCTGTTCTGTTGACTTTAGATTGTGATCTGAAGCACCCAAGACTGTGCACTCCTGTTTTATTGACATCAGGAGGTGTTCTGAACCACCCAAGACTGTGAACTCCTGTTCTATTGGCCTAAGATTGTGATCTGAAGCACCCAAGACTGTAAACTCCTGTTCTGTTGACCTTAGATTCTGATCTGAACCACCCAAGACTGTGAACTCCTGTTCTGTTGACCTAAGGATGTGACCTGAACCACACAAGACTGTGAACTCCTGTTCTGTTGATATCAGGAAGTGTTCTGAACCACACAAGATGTGAACTCCTGTTCTGTTGATCTTAGATTAAGATCTGAACCACCCAAGACTGTGAACCCCTGCTCTGTTGACCTAAGATTGTGATCTGAACCTCCCAAGGCCTTGAACTCAGTGTTGCTGACCTTCAGATGATCTAACCTTCCCTGACCCTGAACGTTTATTCTGTTGACCTTAAATGTTGATAAGATTTTCTGTTGACCTGGTACTTTTGTTCTACTGACCTTAGATTGTGATCTGAACTTTACAGTCTGTCCAGCTAATGAAGACATTGTACATATATATATTTTCAGGTGGAGTTGGCAACATTCATTTCCTCAAGACATAACATGGGCATGACATTTGCGAGGGATCTGTGGAATGAAATTAAAAAATGTGCCAAGGTAAGAGAAGAAAGGAAAATTAAGTTAGTGAATGCTTCCAATACATGTTATTGTGAGGAAATACAGTAGATTTAATGAAACCTTGAAACCCATTCACAGGAACATTATTAATTCTTTCAGGAAATGCTTATTCTCATAAGCAAAATACATTTCATGTTAATGTTTCTATAAAAAAAAATATTACAAAAAAAAATAAAATGAGATTTTGGGATTTTGATTGGAAACTGAAATCCCCAGTAAATTAAACTTTTATACTGTTAATTTTTCAATTAATAGTTAATGCATACTTAACTTATAAAATTTTCATGCAACTTTTCCACTTTTTACCTTCTGCAACTAATTTTTCAACCAAATACAGTGAGGTTCATTATATCAGTGCTAAGGCTCAATTCAATATGGATATGTAATGGATTCATGTCACATGTTCAAATACGCTGACAAGTCTAGTAATAAAATCAAATAGAAGAGGAAAAAAGCTGCATGGAAAATTTTATAGTTATGTGACATGCATTGCAAAAACTCCTAAAACCACAAAGTCATTGTCATCTTGTCTAAGTTTTATCAGCAGCAAAGAAAATCTTCATTACAGGGTTGAACAAAAGACCTTTAAAAAGGGGATAAAAAATCTTGTCTTGTTTTAACAGGAGTTCTGTGACTTTGATGATTATAACTGGGACTGGACATTGCAACATTTGAGTATGAAATGCATTGCTAACAAAGTACAAGTAATGAAGATGAAGGCAACGCGTGTGTTCCATATGGGTGACTGGTAAGTAGTATTAGGAAACAATTTATTGATCAAGCAATCGGAATGCCATCAATGTTTTATTGATAGCTCCTTTACTGAAACATGAAGGTGATTTAGGTCAAGCATGCTTGGAGCCGAGATGAAGGTTTTAGAATTTAATTACTAGTGCTTGTCATTGTGTTAGCTTTTTCCTTTTCAACAGAGATTGCAATGAAAATACATACAGGGGATAGGTATATTGCAAGGGTTGATCCTTTTTGCTGCTTTGACTTTCTCAGATCTCAAATTGATATCTCCTTGGTTTTTATTACCCTGTAAATTGCAAGGGCCTATTTGAGATGTGTCTCCTTTGAAGTATGTAGGCTAACTCACTGAACAACATATGGGAGGACCTCGGCTTGCTATCCAAAGCAATCTGGATGAATTATTTGGCTCAAAGATACAACCATGACAGCGTATCAGCCTAAATGGGATCAAAAACAGACACCTAGGTGAGGTTGAAACCAGGCAAATAGGTGGGATTGAAACAAGACAAAAAGGTGGGATTGAAACCAGACAGCAAGGTGGGATCGAATCAGACAACTAGGTGGGGTTGAAACCAGACACATAGGTGGGATTGAAACCAGATACCTAGGTGGGATCGAAACCAAACACCTGGCTGGCATCAAAACTAAACACCTAGCTGGCATCAAACCAACATCTAGATGGCATCAAAAACCAGACACGTAGGTGACAAAACCAGACAACTAGGTGGGATTAAAACCAGACAACTAGCTGGCAACAAACCAACATCTAGATGGCATCAAACCAGACATGTAGGTGACAAAACCAGACAACTAGGTGGGATTGAAACCAGACTAGATGGCAACAAACCAGACACGTAGGTGGCAAAAACCAACATCTAGATGGCATCAAACCAGACACGTAGGTGACATCAAACCAGACATCTAGATGGCATCAAACCAGACACGTAGGTAACATCAAACCAGACATCTAGATGGCATCAAACCAAACATGTAGGTGACATCAAACCAGACACGTAGGTGACATCAAACCAGACACCTAGGCCCTTCACCTGAGGTTGAAGTCTTACGCTGTACTGACTGCGGTTTCATGACCTCTTTATACAACAAAAGTACATACTGTGGATTCATTTTATTTCGTGGGGGTCCAATTTTCGTTGTTTTCGTGGATGAGCAAATCCACGAATTTAAAAACACAACGAAATATGAACTACTTACTAAAGTAATTTTGAAATTTGACCAAGTAATCTTTGCCGACACCGGAAACATCCACCGGTAATGACAGAAGCCCCGTAATTAGTCGGGAGTCGGGTAGTCTGAGGCTCGACATGGATACGCTAAATTGGTGTCAACGATATATAATTATATATTATTAAACATAACAAAGGGTAAGTACCCATTGTGATGCTAAGTATGATGGGATCGCAGTCGTTAGCGACACTGTGGACACTAGGCTTGATCGGACCATCCTGTCGATTGAAGATTGGATCCGTATTTCTATCCGACTACAGGTTCACAATAATTATTAATAATGCAGATCTTGTTTACACACCTGTTTACACACATGGTCCAATCGATACGCGTGGTGTTTTCATATGACTGCGGTACACCGACTGATCAGCACACAATGTTTATCCACTGAAAACAATTGTTTCTGATAATTACCGATTGATTACACGCCAGGATATATACTGATTTGTGGTTTGATATTAATGCGAGACTGTTGTAAACAGCGTTATAAAAACACAGGACGCCATCTTGAAAAAAAACGTTCTTTTATTCTTGTCATTAGTGTTAATTCCTGTGAACATATCCTTAATACAAACAGAAAAAAATTCGACTGGAAGAAAAAAGAGAAAATTCTAACGTTTTTATTTTTTTCCCACAGAATAAAAAATCCACGAATTTATGAGTCCACGAAACTGTTTAATTTGTAGAAACAACGAAAATTGAACCCAACGAAAATAAATGAATCCACAGTATCGTCCAGTGACAGTAATGCCTTTAATGTGAACATAGTTTAAAGGTATTACAGTCAATGCAGAATGTGTACTGGAAGTAGTTTTAGAAAAGACTTACCTGTCAGTCTAAAAATATTCTGTTTACACTTGTCTAAATTATTTATGAGCTCTTGTGGAAACTGCTGTTCTCACACTCAAGAACTAGACACCAATCTAATTTTAAGTTTACTGCCTCTTTGTCAACTTTTAGAGGTGTGAGTTTAATGTTGTCTGCATTTAGTTCGGTAAATCTCCTGTAAGTTCGAATAGGCCAGTAATTTGAACATGTGATTTTTTCACTAATTATAGTTATAGTTTGAACCCTTTTTAGTTTATTTCACTTACATTTAGAACCGTTCGAACATATCGGGAGATCAGACGTTTAACTACCGGTACTGATAGCGTTAAATTATACACATACATTTCACTTAATAAGCATTGATGTAATGTGATTTCTTTCACATCTTGTTGTAACATTGTGCTCACGCCAGCTGACAGAACTTGAGGCCCCGATTCTGTATTTCAAGCTATCAAAGTGATCAGTATACGTACCATAGGATGTTGGCATGTTTTGTCAAAGAGCAACAGTGTTTAACTTCACATTTTCATAAGGCAATCACATTATGACTATCTCAATAATTGAAATATTTATAAAAAAAATTTAACAAACATTAATCCATAGTCATATTAAATCTCAATTTACAATCCACATACCAAAATGTCAACACTAAATTCTGCCATTATGCAAGCAAAAATGTGCTTTTCGTGGGCCTGTTTGTCTCTCACGATATCCAACAAGATGAAGTGCAAAAGAAAACTTATGATTTCTTAACAATTAATATGCATTGCAGTACAGTAAGTGTTTCAAAAGATAATCATTTTATAATCAATACCTTTCCCCCAGAAAATGTCATTACTGACCGTTAGTTTTCTGCCTTGCTAGAACACTTTTAGACACCTTAGCATTATTTTGGGCAATGTCAACCCTGATAATTCAAATTACTTTCCACAAGTATAATTTCGTATTATTCAAACAGGTTCAACATTATTCAATGAATTCTGTTTGAACTGACTGATCGTTTACCATATTTGTTTTTATGAATCTACCGGTGATTAGATCGTGAATTTTGGATTTAAGATGAAAAATTTCCAGTATAGGTAGGAGACAATACCATGTTACTAATGTACACTGTCACGACATTACTGTAGTTACATCAGTGGATTGAGAATTTGTCCTTTCTAGGACCTTTTTCTTGGATGTACTAACAATACTGACATACAATTAGCCTTGAAAGGAGAAATAATCAGAATGTAATATTGTCATCACCATTCTCTCCACTGGGCAATTTGATAACAGATGAGATGTTGTAATTAATTTTTCTAATGTTAAAAAAATTGATCATATACCTGACTGTGAAACAAGGCACCATGTTTTGGCTAGTGTAAGAATGATTGCTGTGGCAACCTATTGGCGATTCGTGAGTCAAGTGATGATTAGATCATGAAAACCATCCAATATAAATATCATGTTATATCACCATCATTTTAGAATGATGTTTCGCTTTATCAAATATTCAGACAATTAAATATAATTCTAATGACCCTGCTTTCTCCAATCATACTGGTGGGGAAAAAGTGTTGTACATAATTTGTTATCTGAGGTGCCACAGGCAGCATAAAATGTAATCCATTTCACTTTATGGTTCAGGAAACACTGATTTAGTGAATGAAAAGGTGTGTTAATTATGGTCCTCGTCACTTTTCTGTCTGTTTCTGAAAAAGCTTCTTGTAGATTACTCTTCATATCTAATGATACATTAACCCTGCAGGATCTCTAGAGTATCATTAGATTATCAGCTCTATACAACTGGCTGTTTGCCTTTAGAGAGTGTGTTTTGGGAGAGGTGGGAACCCTCTTATGGTAGAAGCCTGGAGACAAAATATTGAATTGTAAAGATTGGCAAAAACGTTTAGTCGATGTGAATAAATATTTAAGGTATCTTTTTTCTGGTTAATTTCGAAGTATATGGCAATAAAGGCTAGATGTTGGGCCTTACAATAACCTCATTATTTCTTAAATGCTTCTAGCTCTTACGGTAGTGAATGTTTTAAATAATTTCATACATGGTTACTGAAGTACTTTGTCTAACTTGGTGAAAGGTAAGTGTACTGTATTTGTGTTTAAGGATAAAGACTAGAGTTATCATTATCTGAAGTACTACTGAAGAATATTAACCATGCTACACTCCACTTGGCAGTTAATGAGCTTTGAGTAATAATGCTATCTTGATATTGGTTTTTAAGTTTAGTCTCAAGTATTGTTGGTAACTTGGATTAAGACTCAAGGATTATCTGTAACTTAGGTTTAGACTCAAGGATTTCTAGTAACTTGGGTTTAGACTCCCAGGATTGATGGTAACTTAGGTTAAGACTCAAGGATTGATGGTAACTTGGTTTAGACTCAAGGATTGATGGTAACTTAGGTTAAGACTCAAGGATTGATGGTAACTTAGGTTAAGACTCAAGGATTGATGGTAACTTGGTTTAGACTCAAGGATTGATGGTAACTTGGGTTTAGACCCACGGATTGGTTTCTTTATAATTACAGGTGGTGTCATTCATTATAGGCATACAGAATTGAATCGGCAGGACTTAAGTTTTAGAACGAAGATATATATGTCATCTTATCTCTGGTTAGTTGTTGGTTGTCAAACCTCAAGGTTACAAGAATAAATAATGTAAAAAAAATACAGTGATTTCATGCAACTTTATCTGAGATTATTTCTTAAGCAGGCGCTTATTGTCAGGGAACTACTTGTCATATAACATTAAAACAAAGTCAGGATTTTCATTCTCTGGTAAAGATCAGATTTGTTTGGATCACAATTTACAGCTGTTTGTGTTCCTACAGAATCTTTGATAACAGGACAGTCAGTGCTGTCATGGTTGTATCCTTGGGCATTAGAAGCCATTGCTCTTAATGACATGCAGTGAGCCTCCAGTATGTTGTTCAGTGAATTAGTCACCAGTTACTGACAAGAAGATCCTATCTCAATATGACCCAGGGCAATAAACTTGGCAAAGGAAGAAAGAAACTAACTATATCAAACTGCAAACCTACAGAATATTGATAGTGTATATTTTATGTAGGAAGACACACTGCGGTATGATACTGACAATCTGAGACTAATCTAAATGATTACTATTATCGAAGCTAATATCATCATGAAATAGTCATATTTTCATCAAAAGTTGCGACACACGGAAGCATAGGTGGTCACAAATAATTGCTATTGATGGCAATGGAGATAAATTTCTGTTTCATTTAATATGATTATAAGTGTCTGTGTCAGCAATAGGGTCTGGAATGTCAATATGAAGCTATAGAACCATACTGTTGGAGGTTTTGTTATACGGTTTTATTGATCCTAAATAGGAAGAGTATGAATTATGTACGACAGGCTATGGTGAGGGTCATTGATTCTTTTATAGCTATAGGCAATGTACATGTTTATTTTAACTTCACAGCTCAGATAATTGATGTTTGATGAATTATTATTTTGAAAAGTGATCATTTGAATTTTAATAAGAATATCAATATGTACTGTAATTATTCTATTGATATTGCCATGTTAATTTTTATGTTAAGCCAACATGTATGCTTTACATTTCTTGTTCAAAGTCTCTGAAGTGGGCTAATTGTAGGACACTAGGTGTGATAACACTGATATTATACTTCTTGCTTAAAGTCATGGGGTGGTCTTATTACAGGACACCAGGTGTGAGAACACATTTTACATATCTATTAAAATTAGAAGGTGGGCTTATCACAGGACACCTGGGATGATAACACATTATACATGTTGATTTTAGTCAGATGGACTTATTATAGGACACCAGGGGTGATAACACATTTTACATATTGATTAAAATTAGAAGGTGGGCTTATTACAGGACACTGGGGTGATGACACATTTTACATATTGATTATAGGACACCAGGTGTGATAACACATTTTACATGTTGATTATAGTCAGATGGGCTTGTTATAGGACACCAGGTGTGATAACACTAATATTATACTTCTTGCTTGAAGTCATGGGGTTGGCTTATTACAGGACACCGGGGTGATAACACATTTTACATATCTATTAAAATTAGAAGATGGGCTTATTACAGGACACCTGGGGTGATAACACATTATACATGTTGATTATAGTCAGATGGGCTTATTATAGGACACCAGGGGTGATAACACATTGTACATATTGATTAAAATTAGAAGGTGGGCTTATTACAGGACACTTGGGGTGATGACACATTTTACATATTGATTATAGGACACCAGGTGTGATACCACATTATACATATTGATTATAGTCAGATGGGCTTATTATAGGACACCAGGTGTGATAACACATTTTATATATTGATTTTAGTCAGATGGGCTTATTATAGGACACCAGGGGTGATAACACATTTTACATATTGATTATAGTCAGATGGGCTTATTATAGGACACCAGGGGTGATAACACATTTTACATATTGATTTTAGTAGGGTGGGCTTATTACAGGACAATGAATTAGTATTTTTTTGTAAATTTTTGGGGTCACAGCGCCAATACAATTAGTTTATAATGAATGTTTGTACACTGTGGTATCCTTATCTCAGATGTTATTGAAGTTAGAAAATAAGTTTGTTTAACAGAGAAATAATTCTAATGCTGTAATTATAACCTGGAGTCTGTCCTTGCTTGCTTGCTTGAATATGGTAAATAATGTGTATGTGCCCAAGAAGCTCACCTGTACTTACATGACACTACAAGAGACTGAAGGTTCTTGGTTCATTTTATTACCAGTAGTAAAGGCCGATTGTTTCCAATTATCGCTTTTTCTCTCACATCCTCCAGTTGTATGAGGTGGCTGGTGACTTTGATGACTATGGTAGAACCATTTGTGTTGATAAATTTTCTCCTCTTTGCCCCTCTTCATGGCACCTCCAAGGACAGTATTATTGATTTACTGAAACTTTATGTTCTGAAAACTTTCGACTTTTTCATTTAGTTTGTATTTCCCCTGGTAGCTCAGGTTAGCCAAGACTTTCTTAAATAATGTGACCAAAAATTGTTCTACTGTGTTGGAAATCGTGTGTCACTGTGCTAACATAATCAGTAGCACTTGAGAGGCCTTATCAGTGAACTTCCGGGTTGTATGACATTTACCAGTTGTTGATTTAATAAAAGTCATTGGGTTTTACAAGTACATATAAGATTATAAAAAATCCCCCTACCTGGAGCTCCATTATAGTCGTATTAGTCCCTTACCAATGAAACCAGTGTACAATAGTTATCCTGTCTCTGTTGATCCAGCCTTCCCTGTGTCTGTTTGTCAGCACTCTGGCTGCTTCATGCCTTGAGGTGTTGTCATCAAACTTCAAACACTTATCAATCATCAAAATACCAAGTTTGAGTTTCAGGGTTATAGGATCAAGGTCCCTGTTACTAGGTGTATTAAAAAAAAATCATGGTCAGCATTTCTTTGCTTGAGGTTTTCTCATCAGACTTTTAACATTCATTAAGCATCAAAATATCTTGAACAAATTCAAGTTTCAGGGTTGTTGGGTTAAGATCAGGGTCATTGTTACTATTTATAGAATTTTAGGGAATCATTACAGTGTAATAGAAAGCTTGTGGAAACCTGTAGGGAATATGTATTGCTTCGGCAGTACTCAGTTTGCATGTTTTACTGTAAAATCCAAATTGTATTTTATTTGATATCCAGAATTAATATTCTGAGCATGCAAAACCTGATTTAAGAGAGCAAATTGTCTCCAGACTTTAACGACTTTCAGTTAGAGATATATACCCCAAAATAAATATGTACAGAGCTAGTAAAACCTGATATGGCATATGTATGATTTACTTGTATGACTCAGACAAGGAAATCAATCACCTTATTTTAGTAGCATGAAGCAAGTCATGTTAATATTTAACACAAATGACTGTCTTGATTGAGAGACGGAGCTAAGGCTGTAAATGATATGTTTCGATAGTTACAAAAAAAAAAAAAAACTGTCACCGTCTTAGATTCATCAACAATCCTGACTTTAAAATAAAGACCTAAGAAGAGACACCCTTTCTAGTTCCTCTACCCTTTTCTTTTTATTTTTTCTATTTTATATTTGTAGATCAGCTCTTATATGTACCTGTAACTTTCTGTCTTACATCTTTGAAGTTTAGTTATCCTCTAGGGTCACAGTATTTAATAAAATCTGTAAATTTATGTGAGGAAGTTATCTTTGAGTACCACAGCATTCATTAGCTGATGTAGCTGTCAAGTCATGTTACAACTTTTTGTCTTCAGGTATAAGTTTGCTAACACTGCAAACAAATAGTAACTTAGCTAGGAAGACCTTACCTAAACACACCACCTCAAAGGATGTTTTCTGTTCAGTAACAACTTGGCTATATTTGTAATTGAAATCTTGAATCAGAGATCCCTTTTTAAAATACAAATTTGATATAATTTTGCTGAATAGCAGGAATGAAATTGACTGAAATTTGAAAAATCATTTTCAAACCTAGATAATAATAGAATGAAATACTGGTACTCTGCATGAATAGCATTCGTGATTTCGAAAAAACCAAAGGTTGATATACATGCACCAGTTTTTGCTCTCTCTCCTGCCATTACAGTTGTAGTTTATGTTATTGTAAAATTGTTTATCAATAAGCCCATGTCTTGTAATAAGCCCACCTACATGTAATATTCTGCTGTTCATTTGAATTTTAAAATTACTATTCCATTGTCCTGCAATGGTAATTAGATTTACTCCTGATTTAAATGTGTCGAAAGTCAATATTTTCAGGAAATGTCAATGCAAACCATTTGATGATTAACTTGCCATATGTATTTGCTGTGAAACAGTGGTGTATCACTTTCCAATGCTTCTGTCTATGGTATAGGATAGTTTGTCACAACTACACTGTGGTCACAACTTCTCTTCCTTTTTATCTTTGTGCTTTGTGACTACATTGCACTGGCATGATATTATTTTGTCATGTCCTACGGGTGATATAGATTCTTTTACTATTTACCTAATCTGTATATGGAGGAAGGAAACTTTGCCTGCAGTTTTACTTTTGCTCATTTCACCCTTCCATAAATAGTGTGAAAACAATAAGTGTTTGATGTTTTGTTATCTCGAAATCATTTAACTGGAAGACCTGGTTTAAAGTGCGTTTGTATTTCATCTGTCCAGGCCAAATTTTCACCAAACATTCAATCTTACTTAAATCCAATACTTGGATAACTCGAAGTTTTCAGATGGCCGCCCGACTTAGAAATAACAAAGTTCGACTGTAGATGAATTTAACACTGAGCAGAAAATGAAAAATTTGATTTGAAGGCAAAAGCTAAGTTGATGAAGGGTTTGCTTATATACAGTATACAGATATGATGTTGATAAGCATTTTCTTGTTTGTTTATTTATACACTTTTTATTCTCTAGTGGAGTGCATCATAAAGGGAAAAAGTGTGAACCGCTTGTGAAACAAAAACAGATTGAAAAAATTCTTCAAGACAATCAACAGCACCTCAACCCCAATGTCATGAAGGTGGCAGGCACATCCAAGATCAAAATCCGCGACCCCAAACCAAACGGTGGATGGGGAGACATACGAGACAAAAAACTGTGTCATAGTTTTGTGTCAGCAGAAGATGAACGAAAGATGCAACAGTTTATGAAATCAAATGATATATCTTTGCTGACCAGATAAGAGTCTCTTGTACTAATAGATTTGATTTATTTTTCTATTGTGTTCATATGAATGAAGGAATCACTCTACTTGTCTTGTTGCAAATGTGATGGATTCCTTTCAAACTTGTTACCTCAGGGCAAACTGCAAGAATCTTGAGGTTACGGGTTGCCCAAGTATGTAGGAATTTTGTTCAGTCTTGATCTCATCAGCTCATTCAGCTTTTGAACCCTTCTTATTAAATTCAGTCTCTTTTCTAATCCTTTTGATATCAATATCAATAAAATGCTTGAAATGAAATTGAAATGAAATATCAACTTTTTAGAAACTTTACTCCCAACTTTTGCACAAACCCATGCAATTTTTTTAAATGATTTTTTCACAATAAAACTCTTTGTTGTGACCAATGCATTTGTTTGTTCCTAAGAAATTATTCACAGAATATCCATTATACCAGGAAAAATGGTCATAGTTATGATTCAGTTGTCAAAGTTTGATAGAATTTTGTCTTAATTTCTGTATCTATTTTCTTGTATATTTCAAGAAGTATGAAAATTCATTTCAAAAATTGTTTGAAAAGCTTTTAATTAACAAAGATTTTAACAGTGTTCCTTTACTAATTTCAGATAAAGGTCAGAAACTGATGTCTCAATGATAAACTACACCAAAGCTGTTTGTTGTCTTTAATTTTTTTCATTTTTGTCATAGTGGAGATTTCAGAGTATGAATAAGATGTCAAAATGTATTGATCAGCTTGGATCTGTAATCAGATTTCATTGTACGAAACTTAAGTTGATGATGGTCAATATTTACTTTGTTGAGATAGATTCCCAAAGACTACCATTCACTCATGTTTTATTTAACGTAGGATGGTGAATTATTGACAACCCAAAGTTTGTTTATCACTGAACTGTTTCATTCTCATACAGATAAAGTTATGGTCAGTCTTTAATTTCTTGCTTTAATGTAATGGTACTGTAGCTTTCTGTCCAACGGCTTTTGATGAAATCAAATTTTCATGATCTCGCTGGAAGATTAGATAATTCAATGTTCAAGAATTTCTAAATCTAACCAGTTGAACAATAATTGAAAGGGTGTAATTTTTGCAATTAAGAATCTGCAATTTACTTTTTGTTGCAAATTTTGAAGCAGTTTTAATTAGATTATTTCATACATTGTTATCACTTGTCTGATCTCATTTTGAATAGGAAACAAAAAATTATATGAACTAGAAGCTTTTATCATGAATCACAATTAAGGAGGAAAGAAACGTTGATTAAGCTTTAATCTTCTAAAAGCTATTATAATTAACATTGAAAGATGGAAGTGTATTCAGTATTCATACATTTATTTAATTGTATTTAATGTATATTTTGAATCGCAAGCAAATCAGATCACCCATTTAAGCATTCAATGTTTAAGGAAAGAAGTAGTATGTAATGTTCAATTATGTTTTAATGAAACATATATACAATAAATGTGTTATGTGTACAGAAAAAATATAAAGTTCATCTGTTTTCTGATCACGGACATGTATATTTCATATTTATTTAATAAAAAGCATTTATTGTACACAATGTAAATTAACTTTCCGGCTTACAGAGGGAACTCAAAGCCACAGTAAGTATGATACACATTATAGACAATTAGATATCGATCAAAAGTCAAAGGGTTCACATTGGCTCAGTTGGTAGAGCATTTGCTTACATAGCTTCCGGTGAAGAATCAAAGATGTGTGGTTTGATGCTCTCTACCTGTAGTGGTCAGCTGAGTGTTTTAATTATTTATTACTGAAACATCATATGTTATAAGTCTGGCGACACTGTTGTATGGCTGATTTGGTTGGAAATGGAAAATATGTCAAGCTAATACATATCATTTTATTTGATACCACATTTACAGTCTAAAAAAAAAGAGGGTTGGTAAATTGTTCTGAATTTGTTGTCTTTATCATTGAGAGCTAACTGGGAGTACTGGTGATAGAAAGGAATATTTTAATCCTTCAGATTATTGGCAAGAAAAAAACTGGAAAAAATTAACTTAGACCTTTTTTGTTAAATATTTGTACCAGATGTTGAAGTTGAATTCAGTGAAATTGGTAATAGTAAACTGCTAGTTACTGCAGAGCTCAGTTTCAGAACTGAATATAAACTTTCAGGAAGTGCCAGTATGTATCATATCAGGTTTTACAATGGACTATTGAAGGACTACACATATATACAATGCATTAAGTTTCATAGGGGCTCTCATACTTCATATATGATATATCAGCCAGGCACATAGCCAATCAATTTCAATGTGTACACAGACAGAAATGAATTTATGGATGCAGAGGGCTTCCAGGTGTAGGGTGATGATGGCAAGATGACTTTGCAAATAAATTTTTTTTTTTTTTTTTTTGTGATGATGATGACCATGGAGCTATGTATATGTGTATAGACAGTTTTGTACCCATTAACATTGAGGGTTTAAATATCATGCAATTTTATTAGTCATGTGTAATAATAGATTGTCACAAAGCTAATGAATAGAATTTTGCTGTTTTTCATATCTTTCAATGTGTCCAAGGGAAAATACTGACTGATTATAGAAGTGTATGCAGAAAAATGAAAACTTAAATTTAGCATAATGATATATGGATATTTGGAACTGTCATGATGCACAGTGTGTGTTGCTGAATCTCAAAAAGAGAAGAGTGATAAGGTGACAATGTAGAGGAATAGTGGATATTTGTTAGAAGTTTTAGTGTTCTCCTGGTATCAGAGATTAACTTGATGTAGACATGGGTGTGAATGTTCACTTGATGATATCTTCACATTGACAATGATACAAGAGTTCACTCAAGATTATTTGATGTTGAAAATGGTGTGATTGTTCACTCAAGATTATTTGATGTTGAAAATGGTGTGATTGTTCACTCAAGATTATTTGATATTGAAAATGATGTAATCGTTCATTTTAAGACAAGTTGACATATGCGTGCATGAGTTTTTTTGTAAATAATAAATTTGATGACCTTGATGTGAGAGTTCTGAGGTTAACAATGATGTGAGATTTCACTGAATTATGATGTAAACAATGTGATAGGTCACTAAATTATGATGTTGACAATGATGTGAGAGTTCACTTAATTATGATGTTGACAATGATGTGAGAGTTCACTGAATTATGATGTTGACAATGATGTGAGAGTTCACTGAATTATGATGTGAGAGTTCACTGATTTATGATGTTGACAATGATGTGAGATTTCACTGAATTATGATGAGAACAATGTGATAAGTCACTGAATTATGATGTTGACAATGATGTGAGAGTTCACTGAATTATGATGCTGACAATGATGTGAAAGTTCACTAAATTTAGACATTGACAATGATGTGAGCTCACCCATAGATAGCTGTATGTTGATAATGATGTAAGAGTTCATTTGTATATAACTTAAGAATATCAATGGTGTATTTATTCATTTTGACGTATTTGATTATAATATTCACATCAAAACCCTATATATAATATATCAAACGGTACTGAGTAAAACCTGTTCTCTTGGCCACCACACTTGTTTATAAAGGACCCTACAAACCTTGTCGTTTATAAAAATGTAAAAACCGCTTAATAGATATATGTATAAGGTTATGTATGAATAACTTTCTTTTTATATGTTTGTGGTAATCTTTTATATCTTGTGTATCTCGCAGATCACACCAGTGATGTGATATCTATGTCGTTTTTGTTGTATACTGTATAATTTCTCATCTCTCTCAGATTACACCAGTGATATGAGATGTGTTGTTTCTGTTGTATACTGTATAATTTCTCATCTCTCTCAGATCACACCAGTGATATGAGATCTGTGTCATTTTTGTTGTGCTGTTATTTTCATTGTACTGTATAATTTCTCATCTCTCTCAGATCACTCCAGTGATATGAGATGTGTTGTTTCTGTTGTATACTGTATAATTTCTCATCTCTCTCAGATCACACCAGTGATATGAGATCTGTGTCGTTTTTGTTGTGCTGTTATTTTCATTGTACTGTATAATTTCTCATCTCTCTCAGATTACACCAGTGATATGAGATCTGTGTCGTTTTTGTTGTGCTGTTATTTTCATTGTACTGTATAATTTCTCATCTCTCTCAGATCACACCAGTGATATGAGATCTGTGTCGTTTTTGTTGTGCTGTTATTTTCATTGTACTGTATAATTTCTCATCTCTCTCAGATCACACCAGTGATATGAGATCTGTGTCGTTTTTGTTGTGCTGTTATTTTCATTGTACTGTATAATTTCTCATCTCTCTCAGATCACTCCAGTGATTCGAGATCTGTGTCGTTTTTGTTGTGATATTTGTTATTTATTTTGGTCCGGTTCCTCACTGTGGATACTTAAGCTCACTTGTCTGTGTGAGTTTGGGTTTCAAACTCTCACAGTAAGTCCATGATCAAATTCTGTACAGTTCAACTTCTATTTGCAAACTTTATATGTGTGTAACTTTTCTTTTCTTCTAAAATCTTGACTGAAAACTTCACAAATTACGAGTTACCACTGGACACACAAAAGTTAATAAGAAAACAAAATAAAAGAGAGTTTGAAATTGCACCTTAATCAATAAAAAGTGCTTATCAAAATTCAATAACTTTGCAATAATCAGCGAGTTGGAAAGACATTAGAGTATAATTTCAACCATCATGCATTTATCTTGGTTTATCAGATGCCGTCAAAATTTGGCACTTAAAATTTGCCTCAACATACGCTGTGTGGATATATATCTTTGACAATTTTTTGAAAGATTGAAATGGTAGGTTTTATGAATTTGCACTGGTGTCTCATGTGTTGTTTATGAAAAGTTTTAAAGAAGAAATAGGCATGTACAGGGTATAGGACAAATCAAGATACATCCAGAAACCAGTGAGCGTTTGTAACCACAGTCAGTTCTGTACCTTGATGTAAAGGTTGTGTTGCTTAAACATTCCAATCCATTCAGATGAAACCTTCATATTGAAAAATCACCACCACAATGCAGGCTCATATGATACAAATAATTATACAAGAATTGGGAAACAAGCATATGGCTCATATTAATCATTCTTGTTGGCCCAGATTGAAGTGTAGTAGGGGTCTGACTGTGGCAGGAAACAAGTGTACTTTGGGAAAAGGCCATGTGTTTGGGGAGGTGACCTCATACCTTTTCACATCCATTTGGAGAATAAAACAACGGCGGTCTAAGGGACAGACAAATGGATTACAATCCTGGGACTCATTACTATTTTTCCATTTATTTTCTCTCTCTATTTAGGTAATTGTGTTGTCATTTTTACTAAATTCACTTGAACAAATTTTCATTTTTAAAAAAGAGGCATATTGATGTAGCTAAAACCATCACTTTTATTTGAGGCAACTAGATACATGTATAATGTTTCAAATTTTGACTTAAATCGTTACGTTAATTTTTACTTGTTATTCATTCATTCATTTTGAATATCAATAAATATTACATAACCATATTAAAGAAAAAAATATTAAAGTATGTAATCAGAAAAAAAATAGCCTACCAAAGAGACGCTATAATTATATAAGAGTGAATACATTTTTGTATTTACATATGAATGCCACATGATCACAGATATACCCTATACAAGTTTGAACTACAAGATAGGACCCACTCTTAAAATGTCATAACCAAAAATGTTATAAATTTCAGATATTTTTGACAGAATTTCTGGTCTGTAGATAAATGATGAGGAATCTTCACACTGGAAACCATGATGTCTGATGTAATGTTTTGAGATTACAAAAATGTTCAAGTGATATTTGTAAAGTTTTACCAAAGAACTTATTCTGGACATAATTTCTGAAGTGAAGAATACTGATGAGGTATCTTTGTACTTGCAACCATGCTGTCTTTATGTAAGATGCAAGGTTTTGAAAATGTGTGATATTTGTAAAGTTTGCTCAGAGAGTAAACTGCAAGTGAAGATTGTCATTGAAATTGTAAAATAATATATTTCATTATTTTTAAGTTGAGAATCACAATTCAATTCATAACTCATAAAATTCATGATCATTTTTAATAAAGAATAAGATTTAATAGATAATAAATTAACCTCATCAATTTTTTAAATTTTGAAGAAATCAATCAATTGAAAAGCTTGCTAAACACAGTAAACCAGTGTAAGGGGAGACAATCCACATCTAATGTGTTATTTCTCAAAAAAGAAAGAAAACTGTTAAGGTTTCCATTTTCTTTTCCAGGTCAACTTGGTCTGTGATTTACTGTTTACATACTAATTAAATACAAACTTGCTCAATCCTTAATTAGCCCAGACATTGAATTCTATTTAGATAACTATGATATCATGTAAAATTGTCTCAGATGTGTGACAGAAGTAGGCTGTGACAACATTTAAATGTGGTCTTTCTTTTGCATGATCCTGCATTGATTTAGAGATGTATGAATTTTCTGAATTCAAATCATCATTATCTGCCAAAACTATTTCATTGGATGTCGGGATACCAACATATACATCATAAATGTGTCACATTTTATTTGAATACTTAAGTTTATAAAAACTAATCAAAACAATTAACGAAAGGGTATCACCAAAATAACATCACAAAATTCAGATTACAACAAACAAAAATTCCCATCAAGAGTTCAGCCACATTTGTAATCAACTAAAAAAGATTGCTAGCAAGCATCACTAGAAACCCACAAGACTGTGTTATACTCATGACCCAAACAACAAAAGCAGAGTCTCCGGGGTTTGTAACAACGGCTAGTAAGATAAAAAGTTACTGGTGTACAACCACCAATATATCAATACCAATCAATAAAAAGTACCTCTAAAATAAATAGACAGTTTTAAATTTGTCTGCAGTAAGTATAATCCCACAGCTGTTTTGTTCCTTTACTTTATTGTACTGTTTGATTAAACTTCAACATTCTTTAATTTACATTTTCTTGTTTCCTATTGATATTAATTTATCTTGATCTTCCTGTAAATGTTTGTATAAATTTTGCAGATGTAAAAAAAATATGCATTGAACATTTATATAGGACATTAAAAACCATGCATTAATTTTTCAATTGTACAGTATGTTGTGTGTCTTACCCTTGAAAGTGTCCAAATTTAGTTATATTCGTATAAATGACTACATATTCTGACAGATTAACATTATTTTTATATCATAAAGGAAAAAAATAAAAATATTGTTGAGGGAACGTCTTGGTTTTGTTTTTACTTTTTTCTCCAATATTTATCTAACAGACCCGTCAATTTCATTTTCAGCTCAACTGCTGTCATCAAACTTATCCATGGCAGATAAGAATGTCTGTTTGCCATGTCTTGAAGACTTCTAATCAAAAACAGAAAGCCAGGAAATAAACATTTTTCTTTGAAACCATCACTAAATATCATACAAAACATGTGGATTGTGTCGTGAAATTTCACTCATGCCATGGTACTGCATCCATTCATTATTTAATATTTTCCTCAAAGATTTTACCATAATGATTCCAAAATGGCTTATAGCAGCATTTTGTAAACTTTTGTGCTGAAGATTTTTTGGGGCAAGTGAACTTTTCTTTTTAATTTTGTAAATTGACTGAATTGCCCATGAAACTACTTCATCAGAGAGGGTTGGGTCACACAAATGAAAGAAAAATCCTGAAATAGATTTTCTTTAGGTGTAGGTTTATTAAGTAGGGGTTCAGATATTACCAATACCAATATTGACATTCCATAAAGTATATATCCCTGTCATTTTGACCAAAAGGATGTGGAACATTGCACCATTATAAATATCCTGTGAAGTGAGTATAAAAATGATGTCAAATTGTGAAATCAAATTATCACCCTTCCTACAGAGAATGTTGTTTCCAGAATAAAAGCACATGTGAACTGAACTTTCCCTCGGTAGAAAGCAAATTTTGTCTCATTCCTAGCAAACAATTGAATGTAATTTTTCAATTTGTAAGAAAATGTTTCTTATACCAGAAGGGTTGGAGTGAAAGAAATGGAGTGTGTTTTACACAGGAAACGGAAGGACAGATGTGACAGAGTTTCAAGACATAAAGAAACAAAAAATAATGAACACTACAGATAATGTTGGAAATATTTTACTACATTTTGCTTCCACAAAAGCGCAATCATTTTGTTTCTTTTTTTTTCACTCAACATACTGGAAAACTATTGCATGTTTGAAGCATTGAAATTGCACTTTCCTATAAGCCATTAATTCAGTGAAATCTATTGATGTTACAAAAATCTTGCACAGTATAAATGTAGCCAGTATGATAACTATCTGGTGAGAACAGAAAATATTTGGAATACAATTTATAATATGGTTTTTGATTACTTAATTCAAACTTTCAGAAAACTTATTTTCCAATCAATATGCTGCACTAATTTGACACCTTCAGAATATTTCAGTACAAGCACAAATATGTACATACCTTACTAATAAATCTAAACAACGGTATCGGAACAGATACTTTTATCAAGATATTAGCATCCAATAGTTTGATCTAAAATCATTCTGATGACTAGGCAATTACAAAGGCATGGACTTGACATCAATCACCAATTTTACAGTCCATATACTCTCCATTTCAAACACACACAGATGAGAATTTTGGGGATATGTGCCAGGTAGCTGTGATAACATACTGTATAATCAAAAAGTTTCACAAGGCTTAATTTTCATGCTTTTTTTAAATTGTTAGTTTGTGGACACTTGATTTCGTGGATAAACACAGCTCAATAAATATTGTTGCACCAATATGAACATAGAGTAGACATAATAATTACGAGTGCATGGATTAAGAGTACCTGTGAATCAAGGAAAATGATTCTCTTTTGAAAATGATTGATTTTACAGTAAACAACCAATTGTTTTAACAGTTGCTTAATTAACAAATAAGCATATTATCAAAGATATGTAAGACCATGAATTAGGGGAAGAAATTAATTTGCAGAAATAATCACTAGGTTTTAAGAACTGAAAAACAAGTTTGTGTTTGTCTTTTTTCTTTCAGAACATCTTCAGATCACCATTTGCTTCCTTTCTTCTTCTTCTTCTTTTGAGCCTGAGCAGGTTTCTGTTGTCGAGGCCCCTGGGGCAAGGCTGCTGCAGCACTGGCAATAGGGGATGGAGCAGATCCTGGCCTCGGGGAACTCGCTTCACTCCCAGAACCTCCTTTACTAGCATCCCTAGAACACAACAGTTCACTTAAAATCTAGAATCCTCTCATCTGAACATATCTTATCAAAACAAGGAATAAAGATTCTGAATCTTTAAAGTGTTCACTAAATTTGTGTCGGCAGATTTTTGAGCAATCTCTAAAATCTCCTAAAATTCTTTCTTTTTTTTTTTGGAATAGAAGTCTCCTTTAATTTTTTAATCTTATGATGGATTGATTGCCAACAAAATATAGCTTTATCAAAAGTATAACATAAAACAAGGGCAATACTTACATGTCCCCTGAAGGTAGAGAAGCACTGCCTTGTGTTCCTTTACCTGGGTAAAATCAAGATTGAATGTTCTAATTGAGAAAATTGATTGATTTAATTGATAATTCAAATAAGCACAGCCTTACAGAGATCAAGAAGCTGCACAAAAAATACATACAAATGAAAAACACATTTTAAGACAAATTTTGAATAAGATACACAGCAAAATGAAATAACGAATTAAACTATCATTCAAAGTTCATTCCATCACACCATCAAAGTTATATAGACAATCAAGATTTTCATATTTCCACCACTTGAAACTCAAATACATCACAAACATTTTATAACACTTGGCACCATATTATTATCTGAGTAACGATCATCATGAATTCAAGTACTTACGAAAATATCTACAGATAGATTTAGATTATAGAGATTTATGCAGTAATCCCATTTATAAAGCTCTTCCCTAGAAAAACTGAATTATGAAAAAGCTGGACCTCTGCTCCATATCTAACATAGAAACTTACTAAACGGAATCAAGGATTTTATTCAGATTAATAGAGAAACCTTCTTCACAGACAACAGCAGGATAATGTAAATGTATCTAGGTACATATTTCAGTGTAATTTTATTTAATCTACAAGTACTGCGCTAAAGAATGATTCTGCTAATTACAGTTAAGATATTTTGTTTACATAGCAATTGTTGTGTTTACATAAATTCATCTGTTTACTCTTGATTTGTTGAAAAGTGATGATGTGCTACAATAAAATTGTTACACTTTGAAATGTCACATGATGGTATGAAATCTTGAAGTTTTACCAGAACAGCCTTCTTACTAACCTATATCCTTCTTCTTGTCCTTCCTTTTGCCCCTGTAATAAGAACGCTCCCTTCTGGGCAGCCATCTTTCAGGATCCTGTTCTGCATCAAGATTCTTAGGCAGTTTTCCTGAGGAATGACCGAGCAACAGATTTAACAAATTACTCCATTATATAAGAAGTTATTTTTCACAAAAATGTAATATAAAAAATTTTTATTCAAAAGTCAAATTCACGTTGTGAATTCTATGTCTGGAAAGTGTTTAACTGTAAATGATATAAACTTTATTTATTTTAAAACAATTGCTCACATTTTTTTCTCAAAACGAAAAATAGTATTGCAAAATATTCAGAAATTTGTAAGTGTACCATCTACCAAAGTAATAAAACATGTATATTTGAAAATATGCGTATTTTGATTTTTTTTTTTTCAACTTTTTATCTGCTAACATTATGAAAAATATACATAGGAAAATGAGATGGACTGTTACTCTGTGCTTATGAATTAAAGAATACCCTTATCATGTAAAAAGTATTAAATCAATATTTCTTCAGTATGTATATGGTATACAATGGGAATTTCATCAAAACAGCAAGTCAGTTTCAAATATGTAAACAAACCAATTCATTGGCAATTTAAACGTAACATTTCAGGAATAAATGGGGACAGACCTGCAAATACTGGTAACTTAGTCTAATAAAAATTTTGGCAATTTTCTTTTTAAAACGATCAAATTATATTTGAACAAATTAGAATTTCACAATCTGGATGTAAAATGACATCATATACACTTGTGTCTCAATCTTTCACTGATCAGATCTCTGCAAAAATAAGCAGCTATACTGTATTGATAAGGCCTGGGAAGGCTTAGTCGAATCTGGTCAGAAAGCAAAATAAATCTGTTGGTACATCCTTATTTCATAAACAATTAACACTAGTCTACTTGATCAAACCAATAAACAAAATTGGTATTTACCCAGAACCTAGTTTAGACAGCCCAAACTATTAAGAATACACAATTATGCAATTGGGTTTATCAAGTTTAATAAGAATAGGATTTTTCAGGGTCGAGACACATTTCATATCTCAGAGACAAACTCACCCTTCTTTCTCTTCTTCCTCTTCGCCTTTTGGATAATCATGTCACCCGACCTTTAACACACAAAAAAAACCAATTTCAAAAGTGAGAATACTTTACTATTTTTACAATGGAAGTCAATGCATAATTTTTGAAATTAGTAAGACTGACCATAATTCTTCATCAAATGTAATTTGTCATGCTTGTTTATCAACTCTGATAAAAAAAAATCCCAGCAACATAATAGTGTAAATGACCACATTCAAGAGGAAAAGGAGTGCAGGGACACTGGTAACACTACATATGCTCAAATCTCTTAATGTAATTGTGGAGGTATGAAAATCATTCAAGAATGAAGCACATACAGAGGATCAAAACATGAGTTGCCATTTGATATGAAAATGATGGAGTCTTTCCAGTCAAAGAATTATTTTGTTCTACCAAGCTCCTGGTGAGGTAGAATGAAAATAATTGTGACAGATTTCATGAATCTCGTATGAATTGGAAAAAATGCAAGATCCTGTTTATCTCATAACTTAGATATTTTCAATCTCATTATGAAAACAGCATTTCATTAGACAGACATAAAATCTTAATTGGCACTTTTCTCAATCTATATCTTTCTTTGCCAATGTCAATCAAAGTTCTGCTAGGTGAAAATTACATAAGTGGTTATACCAAAACTAATGGGTCTTCTTACATTGATAACAGTGTAGTTATGATATATTTCTGTATACAAAATTGTTTTAGCATATTTTATTTACTACAAAGACCTATACATACGGTCCAGGTGATGGCTGAGTGTCAGTCTTTTGTACTCTTTTCATGTATTTGGGTCCTAATGTACTAAAGGCCGCCTCCACAGCGTCAACGTCCACATTTTGGGCCAATGTCTTCACCGATGGCAGGTCATGACTAATACTGGCACAGTTAAGGATTTGTCAGAAGAACACTGACACACTTGTCCAGCTCACACATTTTTAATTTTTATTCTAATCAATCTTAACTTTCCTTATAACTTTACTTCCAGTCCATGCTTAAAAAGATAAATGATCTTTATTTAAAAGATTGGTTTATTAGAATAAAGCAGACAGCTTCTATGAAATACACTTTTCAAACTTACAGGACCCTTTACAAACTTACCACAATGACAGCATTTCAGTCATTTCATAGATCATAAGTATTCACCTTAGTGTGAAAATACTTAGAACAAGACAATTTGGCAAATTAAAGTCCCCAACCATTACATTCTCTCACAAAGTTGAATGCAAACTCCTTTTTCTTTGATGTAGATCAATGGTCGAAATGTAGGTCAGAGTGACCTACTTTTGATACATAACACCCTGCTTCTCCAAAGTGAACCCAAACCCCAAGTACAAAGTTCCTATAACTAGCAGTGAACGAGATAAAGTCTGGACAGACTTTTTCTTTGAAGAAGATCAATGCCTAAGAATGGATGGAAGGACTGACAGACACAATGCAATACTAGTTCACACAGTTCCCATTATGATTATTCAAAGTGCTCCAAGTCTATGCAGTTCTAGTCAGTGATAAAGATAAAATCTAAAACTGTATATATACACCACATTCACTTATAATAGTTCACTAAAACTGATATACTGTTTCCAAAACCACTTTTCTTATTCAACAAAGCCTACAACACAAACTTTGAAGACACGTTAAATTTGTGCTACAAAAATTACTTTAAATCCTGTTTTATAACTGTTGTAATTTTGTGCTTTTCTGTAAATTACAATGTGCATGTTTAACAAAATTAGTTAACTAACCATCTAGTGAAATTAGCTTCCGAATCCTAATCATATAATACCAGCATACTTAAATCCTTTACATGTAATAATAAAAGACTGCTTTTTTAAATATTATTTTTTATATACTATACAATAAGAATATCTTAAATGTAGAATTTTCGCAAGGATACAGTTGTGCCTTTTCTGGATCAAACTGAGAGTATGCCGAGATGAGTTGAGCAAGTGTATGTGGATCATTTGGCTGAGATCTGTGGAGAAAAGTAGAATTAAAACTTATTTCAAAAGACAAATAATGTTGGTATCTAATATTAACGTTGACGTTTATACAGATAACAGAAACAATAGGAAGTTGACAGTTATAACAGGAAGTTGAAAAATGAGAAGAGCAAGGTCGCTTTCACATAAGCGGCTGAAATGGTTGGACCGATTGAACCCACAAGAAAATTGCCAGGTACAGATACGGACCAAGACTTAACTGCAGAATATTTAGCATGTGCAGATTGAGAGGTCCAGTTGTACCTGTCAAAACTAACTTGCTGCATATCACTAGTTTTCAGAATTAGGGTCGGTGCACTAACATATTTCCAGAGTGATTGTGCTATCAAGTGAGTGAAATGGATAGTATCTTAATTTTAGTTAATTGTTTTATACTTGACAGGAAATTCCAAAACTGTGCATTTTGGATACTACATATAGCAGGTCCAACAGCCATTGCATGTATATGTGTAGAGTGGACCACTTGAACCGTTTTAACAGTTAGCGGCCTTAGAAGTTAAAAGGATAACAGGAAAATGACTGTTAAAAAAATAAAATGGCAAGCTCTACCTTCTGAGATCCTCTAGCATGGCAGCAGCCTGTCGAGGATTGCCATTCTTCAGTTGAAAATTTGCATTGGCTCGAGTCATCAGAAGATGGTCTGCACTGTTTGCCTGCAAGGAAATTCAGTTGTGTATAGTTATCATCATTGTACTTTTATATAATTTACTTTTAATCAAGATGTTTTACTTGTATTAAAACAGAAAAAAAAATTCTCTTTTTACACATTTGTAAAATGAACGACATCCAAAAGCGTTTTGGTTCTCGTCCCTAGGTAGTGTTACCTGGTTTTTCTGGTACCACTTTACAGTGCGGTCTAGGACTTCTGACGCAGAATCATTATCTTCTTGACTCACGTACAAAGTAACAAGTGCTGATACCTGGAGGTAAAAGACAACATTTTGTTATAAATTTAGTCCACTCTACATGGAAAAAGTTCTTCTGTAATCTTCCTTATCAATTCAATTGAAATTACACAGTCTTTAACTTTCGGAAGGACCTATCACTTGTGTACCTCCCCTCCCATCTCCCCTCCTCTACCACCCCTGGATGGACCACTCTATACCTACCACCCCTGGTTTATACTGGATGGACCACTCTATACCTACCACCTCTGTTCTGTACTGGATGGACCACCCTATACCTACCACCCTTGTTCTGTACTGGATGGACCACTCTATACCTACCATCCCTGTTCTGTACTGGATGGACCACTCTATACCTACCACCCCTGTTCTGTACTGGATGGACCACTCTATACCTACCACCCCTGTTCTGTACTGGATGGACCACTCTATACCTACCATCCCTGTTCTGTACTAGATGGACCACTCTAGACCTACCACCCCTGTTCTGTACTGGATGGACCACTCTATACCTACCACCCCTGTTCTATACTGAATGGACCACTCTATAACTACCACCCCTGTTGTGAACTGGAGGGACAACTTTATACCTACCACCCCTGGTCTGTATTGGATGGACCACTCTATACCTACCACCCCTGTTCTGTACTGAATGGACCACTCTATACCTACCACCCCTGTTCTGTACTGGATGGACCACTCTATTCCTACCACCCCTGTTCTGTACTGGAGGGACCACTCTCTTACCACCCCTGTTCTGTACTGGAGGGACCACTCTATAACTACCACCCCTGTTCTGTACTGGAGGGACCACTCTATACCTACCATCCCTGTTCTGTACTGAATGGACCACTCTATACCTACCACCCCTGTTCTGTACTGGAGGGACCACTCTATACCTACCACCCCTGTTCTGTACTGAATGGACCACTCTATACCTACCACCCCTGTTCTGTACTGGATGGACCACTCTATACCTACCACCCCTGTTCTGTACTGGAGGGACCACTCTCTTACCACCCCTGTTCTGTACTGGAGGGACTACTTTATACCTACCATCCCTGTTCTGTACTGAATGGACCACTCTATACCTACCACCCCTGTTCTGTACTGGAGGGACCACTCTCTTACCACCCCTGTTCTGTACTAGAGGGACCACTCTATACCTACCATCCCTTTTCTGTACTGGAGGGACCACTCTATAACTACCACCCCTGTTCTGTACTGGATGGACCACTCTATACCTACCATCCCTGTTCTGTACTGGAGGGACCACTCTATAACTACCACCCCTGTTGTGAACTGGAGGGACAACTTTATACCTACCACCCCTGGTCTGTATTGGAGGTCACCGATGGACTTCAGGGCATCACAAGCTTGGTATACTTCACCGTGAACCAGGTGGATCTGAGCTGAAGCCAGCTGTATTTTTACAGCCTGTCCTGGATGAACCTTTGTGTAGTCCTGTGAAATGTAATACATCTTATTGTGATTTCTGGATTTTAACATACAATTTTGACAAAAAAAACTATCTGTGAGACCCTGTATCAGCTGGTAACAAAGGAAAGCATTAAGTTTTTCAAATCTTTTATCCATGAACCCATTGTGATAGTTTTCTGTTAAAGAATAGAGAGACATCAAATGTTATTATCATAACTGGAAAAGGTGATAATGTATATTGTGATACATATTGCGATACAGTCTCAATGCATCACAATATGTTTCAGCTGTATTGTTACACCCCTAGCATTTAGTAGCGACAAAACTGCATACTATCATAGATGACATGGATAAATCAAAACATTTGGACTGAAAAGCTTTGTCTAGAGAATAAAAACAAGTCTTTAAACATCATCAATTATATGACAAGGACTTGAGATTAAACCTGTAGGCTAGTGTGTAAGGTATACTCACCTGCATGAGCTGGATGGCACGTTTGTAGTCCTTATCTTTAACATACTGAGCAGCATCCACCAGTACAGGGGTCGGCAGTTCAGGGAACTGAGTCTTCAACTTGGCAGCAAGGCTGTGGCATTGATCAGCCTGTAATTACAAGTTTTTTGTAGGGTATGAACTTCAGATCAAATAATTTGTACTAATGTTTCCCAGGGAAGTGTTATGTACCATATTTTCCGGATTATAAGCCGTACTCATGAGTCGGGCATGTGACTTATATACAGGTGTGACTGATATGAGGACATAAAATCAACAGGATGAAAAAAAAGCAGGAAACGTACCAGTAAACCAGTACCATTTTTATCTAATCCTACCTTTTAATATGAACCACAATAATATCTTCTTGACTTTCGCGGTTACTTCAAAGTCATAGTGGAAGTTTACAATAGCATTTTGCATGCTTGAATCAATAAGTCATAAGGATTTAGGTCAAATTCTAGAACAACCATCACGCTTGTTAAAGATATGAATGGCTCCATGTAACTTACAAGAAGAAATAATATGTGATTATAAGAATTTGGTTAGCATGCAAGGGCATTTGCTAATATTTAACATTATAGACATGGATGGGTAAATTGTTTAGTAAACTGTACGTAACAGCAGGCCCTATATCTGTGCATAAACAATCTGTGAAGACACCCAAATCAAACAAGTTAGATATTTGCTCTTTTACACTTTTTGAAACACGTCATCTGTGTAAGCCACAGAAATATTCCAGACAAATGATGTTGTTATATGGATTGTACGAGCTGACCTGGTTTGTATGAAGATGGAGCAGACACTGGTTTATGTTGATACTCTGTCTTTGTTTGCTGGTCAGCTTATGTTTCAAGCTATCTGATGTGGCCGACTTCATTTTCTTCTTTGAGTCAAACACGTTCTGATCCTATAAATATGACAGTTTTAAAAGAATATTTCAGTTGCTTCTTCTTTCATTCTTTTTTTTTTCCATTTTCCTTTTCTTTCTTTTTTTTTTATTTTTCAAACTTTATTTTCAACCTGTTCTTTAAGTCATGCATTAAGAATGGATAAATTGAAGTAGTACAAAGAAATGTAATATAGGGATTAATCTGACAATCTTTTTAATATTTATCAAAATCCCCTTCAGAATGGGCATTAACCATGTGCAAACACTTCACATGGTACAAAGAGGACACACAGGCATCTTGGCACCCAACATTGTTTGATTTTTATTTGCTTTTTAAAAGTTGAAATTTTACCTGCTTTTCTATTCATTCCTTTGTTTTTGCTATCAATTATATGAAATTTTAAAATTCCTCTGAAGAAATAGCAATAACAATCATCTACAACTGCCAAACCAAAAATGATCTCTTGTCATCCATTTTGCTTTTCTGATCTTAGCCTCAAAAATGAAAATGGCACAAACTAAGGACCATGGATAACATAACCAGGATAACAAACTTTCAAAGCCAAAATTCAAGACGCCTACCTGTCGGCCTTTATGTTTTTCTGGTAAGTCCAAAAATCAAACAGGCACAACAAGGAACCAAGAAGAAACTACATATAAAATTTGAGAAAGATCCATCCAGTACTTCTCAAGTCATAGCAATAACAAACTTTCATAGTCAAAATTCAAGATGGCCACCTGTCAGCCATTTTGTTTTTCTGGCAAGTCCAAAAATCAAACAGACACATCTAAGGGCCAAGAAGAACCTACATACAAAATCAGAGAAAGATCCAGTCTGCACTTCTCAAGAAAAAGTGATAACAAGAATTGTTTATGGATGAACTGACCATGGATGTAGGACAATTTGAATAGACAACCATCTGATGAGTCTTCTGCAGTACTTATCCTGACGTGATGTACCTATACATTCTATTATGTACACTGATTTAAGTTTATCAGATAGGCAAGGAATCTGACAGATGATGACTTCATGAAATGTTATGAAACTTACTTATACTCTAGTTAGCATGCAAAGTTTTTACAAAAAGAAATTATATAATGGTATACTATTAGTCTGGAAATTTGTCAGTTGATTGCTGTTATTATCAATTGTTTTTCTTTTTTTTAATTTTCAAATTTTTTTGATATCTGATTATCATACCTTATTGAGAGTGACAATATTATTAGAAGCAACTGCTGAAATGCCTGCATCAGAGGGTCTGAAAAAAAAATCAAAACAAACAGTAGATTATAAACTTTATTCTAATTCATTTGAGATGTAACATGACATTTGATTGGTCAATGAAAATAATCTGTAACAATAGTGTACCCTTAAAAGGTCACATGATTTTGAATTTGACAATATATCAACAATACTGACAATAAATTAACAATACAGAAAATAAATTAATACTGAAAATAAATTAACAATGCTGACAATATATCAACAATACTGACAATTAATTAACAATACTGAAAATAAATTATCAATACTGACAATATATCAACAATACTGACAATTAATTAACAATACTGAAAATAAATTAATACTGAAAATAAATTAACAAAGCTGACAATATATCAACAATACTGACAATAAATTAACAATACAGAAAATAAATTAATACTGAAAATAAATTAACAATGCTGACAATATATCAACAATACTGACAATTAATTAACAATACTGAAAATAAATTATCAATACTGACAATATATCAACAATACTGACAATTAATTAACAATACTGAAAATAAATTATCAATACTGACAATATATCAACAATACTGACAATTAATTAACAATACTGAAAATAAATTATCAATACTGACAATATATCAACAATACTGACAATTAATTAACAATACTGAAAATAAATTATCAATACTGACAATATATCAACAATACTGACAATTAATTAACAATACTGAAAATAAATTAACAATGCTGACAATATATCAACAAAACTGACGAAAAATTAACAATTTGAAGTTAAGTGTTTAAGCTGAATATCAATACATACTTGTGTTTCATAACCTGATTGTAGATACCAAGAGCTTCCTCTGTTCGCTGTAGTTTCTGTAGGACAAATGCCAGCTGTACTCTGTAATAGACACAAGTGTTCTTAATAGTCAGGTAATTACATCAACTATGGAAGTTTAAGTGGATCACAACCCAGGGTACATTAGGGAAAACAAATTATCAAACAGTATTCATCTTTTTTCGATTTGACAAGATTTTTCCTTAAGAAAATATATGTAAACTTTTTTCATTTTTCAAATTTTTTTCAGCAATTTCATTACTGTGGCAGACATGAAAATCAACATATCCCACTTCAAATTAACTTTTTGAAAAGTGGAATATTACTTCGAATGTACTTAATTTAGCACAATCAAATTTCAGTGTTAAAATAAGATTACTACTATAATAGGTCTGTTTACAGTATTCTAAAACATTGACCTGGTCCCCTGTATAAAAAGATAATATTCAATGGCAACTTTGATCAACCTGAAGCTGTACCATTTTGTCTAAAATCACCAACCAGTCATTCCTAGAACTTGTAAAACAGCAGAGGAAAATAATCAAATTGAAGTGTACCTGATGATAGCAAGTTCATCCTGAATTTCTTCCTCTGTGGCCTCGGAGTCATCCTCAAACATTTTTCTGCAGTACACTAGATAAAAACATCAGTATGTCTATATTTTAAAAAAATTATTTGAAAGGAATGAGCTAAGGCAAGCCTTTCAATTATAATATTATTTTCTAAATGTGTGTAAAACTGAAAAGAAATTGTTTCAAGAAAAACCTATCCAGGATGAGTGAGAGCACACATACATTTACAACATATATGTACTTTTTCAAAGACTACTAAAAAGACTTATTTACAAAGTAAAATGGTGCTACTGCATGAAATTGGGTATAAAACGTACCTCTGTACTTTCTTTTCTGGTTTAAATCCAAGATGTCATTTCAAGGGTAAAAACTTGAAGATAACATATAATAATATATATTTGTTAATCCTTCCTCTGAAGTATCTTATTTCCTTCTCATGGTTTGCCTCTAGCAAGGAAAGCAACATAAGTTTCTACACAATGAATATTTCCTGTTTTAACAAAGTATATATTAATCAGATAATCTGTTTTAATATCACCTTACAATGACATTTTTGTTAAAACTATCAATAAGATCTCTATATGATTCACATACCTTCTGCTTTTCTCAGTTTTTTCTCTGCACCATGAAAATCTTTGCGACCAATGAGATAACAGGCCATGTTATAACACATTTCATACGACTCCTCCTGAAGTCCAGGATCATCCTGTCAAAAAACAACAGTATTAATCAAGTGATGATATTTTTGTAGGATTTTTCAAAAAGCGAGGCTTAGTTGAAAAAGTCCCATTACTTAGAGATATACATGAACAGAACCTTAAGTGATGGGCAAGATCTATTGGAAAAGCATACAGAGTCGAAGACTCAGGTATTTTGAGCCCAGACTACCTGAGGTAGGTCTCAAACCTACAACCTAAAGGTGGAGGGCTCGTGATAAAGACAGTTAGATGTCTTAACCACTTGGCCACTGCAGACAAATCAGAATAATAATTTGATATTAATAAAAGATATTATCACTCTGATCTATATTTTACTTTGTTCTAAATATTAATCTGTTGGAGTCTGAGTCCTGTGATAAAAAGTATCTCAAATTTGTTTTCATGTTATATAAGGCTTCATGAAACTCTTATCAAAGTTTCCATGAAATCTCCCATAAAATGAAAACTTGTTTCAAGTTATATACATATTTTCATAAGCATACACAATATAACAGTTTAATACCAATGTATATTGATGACAAAAAATAGATTTAATTTTAAGATGAACTTACCATATCTACTTCATCCCATAACTGACGAGATGCTAGTACTGCTGACAGATTTGTCTCCCTTTCCTCATCATACTCATCCTAAAATATTGCATCAGATATTTATGCTTGTGATGTCCAATGGTTTCAGAAGAATACATTAGGAGTAATGAATTTTCTCCTCTAATTTTATTTCCTAGTTTTAATCTTTTTTGACAAAAATAAAATTATACATATTCAATTTTTTTTTATCCCATTTTATGCACAAATTTTAAAAATAGTTAGAATTTTGATATTGAATGTATCCAATTATTGCGTATTATCCATTTACTCCTTCTTTTTCCTAATTAAGCCAGGAAGAACTTTTTATACAAAAATCAGATTCTGAATTCTGAATTCTGAATATGACAAACAGGTCTTAGACCATACACAACTTTAAACTATGGGAGAGGTTCAAATTACTCTGACAGTAATAAAACTACAAGGCTATGAGAATTTACGCAGACATACCTCAGAATTCTGAATAAGGTTTTTGTAGAGTTGGTAGCACTCCTCATACTGTTCCAATCTGTAGAGCTACAACAAACACAGGTTAGTGATTGGTAAATAATTCAAGCAAGGGCCATCAGATACAGGTTATTCTCCCCAATCGGGACAAAATTTAAGTATGAAATATAACAAAGGGCAATAAGAGATTATTGTGCATTGCACTTCTCCTTGTTGAGATCTATCTACATATGACATTTCATGTTGATACCTCTTACAGTTCAAGTGTAATGCTTCAGACAAAATTAAGCTATGAAAAACAGCAAAGGGTAATAACTCCCTAATTATACAAAAGAGAGTGATGATTCTTGTGCACGGAACTTCTCCTTGTTGAGATCTATCTACCAATGAAGATTCATAACGATACCTCTTTCAGTTTTAGTGTAATGTTTAATACATTACTATTCCAATCTGTAAAGCTACAACAAAACAAAAACAAGTCCGACAAGGGCCATCAGATCCAGGTTATTCTTCTTGATCGAGAGAAAATTAAAGGATAAAAAATCATATTTGGTAAGCTTCCCCATACAGCCCCAGGGGGCTGAGACCCAACATGCATACCAAATTGATTCCCCTTCACCCAAGGATGCATTAGACAAAATCTGAGTAAAATTCAATCATTCTTACAGGAAGAGAAGGATTTTAAAGAACTTGCAAAATTTCCTCTTTTGGGGCTTGTTCCTCTGTCAGCTGAGACCCACCATTTACACAAAATTTCTTTCTCTTCCTGCAAGGATGCTTCTGAGTTGGTCAGTTCGTAGGAAAAAGTTTGATGGATGACAAATGCTGCCATATGAGTTAAAAATATAATGTTTCTCTTTCCCCATGCACATATATGTTAATATACCATCCTTACCACTTGTGCCAATAGTTCATTAGTCCTGTTGTCAGGTTTCTCCACACTCCTCAGTGTTGATAATGCTTCCATTGTCCGATTAAGACGGTACTCACAATATGCTTTCTCAAACTTCAGACCACTGAAAAACATCAACTTTTAACTGTATCATTCCAAATAATATTAATGCTGTAATGTTTGCCTACAGGGATCACCATTTAGTAATAACATTCAAAAAAACAATTAGAGAACTGAATAAAAAATTACAATAAAATTAACCCTTTCCCTTTAAAGCAATTAATTGGAGACACCCAGTGTACATTGTATTACCTTGCATGTGCCTTGGCTTTGTGAAGTGCTGTCAAAGCTTCATCAAATCTGTCCAGCTTACTGAGACACACAATTTTACAGTGAAAGGCTGCACTCTCCCCAGCATCTTCTTGTAAAACTGTTGAGAGAATTTTGTAAAACATGAAATTATGTTTTTGTTGTTTATACTTTTTCTTTACTTTTTAATTTGTACATCATGGACAATGAGGTATATGTAATATAACCAATCAAATTTAATTTTCCTATGTACTGTAGACAGTTTCACTTTGATCAAATTCAGTTACACAGATAAATATAAAAGATGATGTTTCTTATATGTGTAGTATAATTGTAATCAGAATGACTGAAAGGAATTTAGAAACTGATTAGTTTACATCAATTTGTTGATAACACATGTACTTAAAAAACTGATGTGTAAAATGATTACCACCAACCATTTCCAAGGATACAAAGCGAAGTTTATTTGACACTTCAATTTAAATGTGATAGAACAGAGAAAAAAAACACATTCTTGTCGACTGCCCTCACAGGAATCAAACCTGGGTTTCCAATGTGACAATCCTTAGCACTAACTCCGGTGAAGAAACATGCCCCTGCAGCTGAGTGACAGATATTTTCCAACAGGAACATGTACTTATATTATTCAACTATGTACAAGATATACTGATCAGCTATTTTTACCCTACTCATTTTCCTCTTGAGATTTCTTAAATCCCAACCCAAAATTCTAAATGTCACATGTTGTGGGATTTCTTTGGAAAACCCAGGTCTCCAGTGCTTGGCTCTACCAAAAGATTTAAGAAGCATGTTCCATCAGCTGAGTGACTGTGACCAACTTTAACACTGCTTTGTGACCTAGTCCTTTTACAACTGTCTTTTTACAAACTCATACATGTACATTTTGAAACTGATAAAGTAATGACAGATTTTTTTAATATTTATTGTTTGTAATTAATGTTATGTAACAATGCAACATAACTAAGCTATGGTGTCTTTCTCCCAAAGCTAGAAGTTGTCTTATTCACTGCACAAAAAGTCCAAATTAATGTAGATATTAATTTATTGATGTATTATTATTTTGACCATTATTTTCCATTTTTTTCTGAGAGCTCTGTACAGCCAAGTATTTGCCGCTTTCCCAATTGGATTCATTTCATAATATGGCATAATTTCTGAAAATCTACCTTACTCCATAAAAGCTCCACCTCAACAGAACTGATCAATTTTAATAACCTGATAATTAATCAGGATGGCCACAGCCCCTCTGGGTAATAGTCCTGCATTTAAGGGATAGTTATTTTACCTCTTTGAGTCATCATTTTGTTACTCAAATTTAGGATCATTTAAAATAGAAATATAAAGCGTTTTTTTTAATTTGAAGTAACTGATTGATTCCTCAAAGTGGAAACAATCTCTAACTCAATTACAGAACTATTACCCACATGCATGGTTGTGCCCAACCTGCTAATTGTGACTTTTCCCTTTGAGCAACCAGCAAAAATTTTGAAGACTCGATTTAGCCTGACAAGAAAGTAACTGGAATAAGATAGAGGGGCACAACACAATTTCCATTTAATCTTACTGAGACGTCTGAATCAATCCCTCATATGCTGGTTTCATATTTAGAAACCATCATTTTTTTTATCACCATATGTCGAACCCCGTTCCAGAACTGCCACATCGGTACCTTGGAATGTTAGCGTATATCGTTGTGCGTTCAAACTATGAATAAGGTGGGATTTAAATACGTTTCAAATTATCATATGTACTTTTGTTTGAGAACTTCAGTGCCTTTTCGAATTCCTGATTCTGTCCAAACTTTTTCAATTCAGCATATAAAGCCGGCAGGTTCGGTGTGGTCTGCGCCATTTTCTCACTTTTTCCCCACGGGAAGCGGAAATAATAACAAATGCGGAATACACAAAAAAGGCCAAGAAAACTGAGGACCATATTTCCGGAATATTGATTCCGTTTATTTTATTTAAATTACTTTATAAAATTTGAAGTTTCTTCTTAAATTCCACAAGTAGGACTAATTTCAAATTGCCTGAAATGACCAGGAGATAGTCTTAAAGAAGTGTTGTTATCTTTAGGTTTGGTTCAAAATCCAATACGGCAACCAAAACGTCATATTTTAAGCTTCTTCATTGAGCTGAAAATTGGTTGGGTATTCAGGACAGAAAATCTGCCGTGTAACTAATTAATTGTGGCGGGTATATATAACAGACATTATCAATAAATCTCTTGTTATCTAAAGGCAAGGCATCATCGGTTCATCTGGAAGAGAAAATGCGGCACTTCGTTTAGTCTTTTGATCTGTTGTGATATGGTATTCGATAAATTCAACCTCATATTAAAAAAAGAAGTCAGCCAAGATAGGGATGTTCCCTTTGAAAACATGAACCATCCTGTGCTGTTGGCGTCTTGTCCAGGGACAAGCAATGTTACCCCAATTTTCATAGCATGCTGTGGGCCTCCTGCATTGTGTTCCATGAGGTTCCCATCAGCTTATACAAGGTGACCCTGCCTAAAAAACATACTGATTATTAATGGACGATAAACCCAGCAAACAAACAATCTACGTTTTGTAAAATCCTAGTCCATTTGTGTAAATTTACTTCCATTTACGATCCTAGATCTCTAACATATATTATTTTTATTTCTTTACCATTTTCATTATAAACGCCAACATATTTCCATTTTTACAAACATGGAGGTGTGTGGCCCATTAGAGGAATATCTTTACAATCCTTATTCTTCAGTTTGAACAAATGCATGGCTTCGCCACATCTATAGTCAGGGGCATCATTTGGGAAAGAAAAAACTTTCGCATAAATGATGAGTCTTCATCTCCCTGGACCTGAAAGATAGGGACCAATAGGGGAAATACCAAAGGATATAAACGTTTAAACTATTTGCTTAAAGTTTGGATAAAGCAATTTCAACTTACCTCACCAAGGTTAGCAATACAGGCCGTATGAGCCTTTTGTTTTTACTTGCAACCAATTTAGAATGTGGTTTAAAAAATCTGTAAGTTTTCTTTTTATATCTGCTGCAATGTGTCTTGTGAAAAAAAAAAATGGGAATATCAAGGGGAGGTAAGTCTGACACATTTATACGTGTCACAGGATATAAATATGTCTCTGAGAGAATAATACAGACACTATTATCAAACACAAATATATTTTATTTGCACAAACATGTGTAATAATTTTCATGTCATGATTTTATTTAAATTTGAAGTATAGTATACAAACACATGAAAATGCTGTATCACTTCGACATCGTTAACAACAAAATACTAGGATATCGGGATATTGGTGAAATCGTACATATATCATTATTATCCCTTTTTAAACAAAGTAATAAATTAATTGCACACTGTCACACTAAATAAGAACTATGAACAACACATTCAAAATCAATCCACATATTTAAAACATGTATATAGTGCTTCTAGCTGATCTTAAATTGAAATAGTGGTAAGTAAAATTTTAAACAAATTAATGTAAATCAAAACTTACAATACCTACCTATGTTATGTATGCACAGCTACAATATAGTCACAGTTGTTCAGGAGATATGAATGTGGTTTTAAAACACACAGAAATAAATTTTCCAGATAAATGATAGGAAATTTCACATAACATCACATACATGACTGTACTACACAACACATTTTATCTATGATCGACATTTATCCCTTGATTAGTATTATTTTCAAGTACTAGCTCCCCTCCTCCATTTCCTCTCAAAAACGGGGGAGGGACCCCATTATTTTCTGTCATCAATCATCTTATTGTAGTGTCAGTCATATGATTTTCACCTGAAGTCTTTGGCTTTCACTTTACCTTACACAACTTCTGTTTTGAAATGTTTACATTGTTTTACCAGCTTCCAATGAATGGCAAAAATTGTAAGATATCACAAGAAAAAAACATTACTAAAACGACATGTAGACATCAGTAAAACCCCTGTGTCTTATACAAAGGATATAAAGGGCAATCTTTTTGAACTTTCCATTGAAGTTCCAAACGTAGTACCATAATAAGATTTTTCAGTATACATAACTATATGCTTTTGTATCTGAAATACATGACAGAAATCAATCAATATATAATATAGTTTATGTTACCCTACAAAATAATTATCTTACACCATTCTTCAGTGTGGAACTTTTCATGAAATAAAGACACATAAGCTGACATACCGGGTATACTATTAGTTACCTAGATAAAAAAAAAATATTTTCACTGTGTAGGGTATACATTCAAACAGATAATCTTCTATAAGACTGTATTTATAAACTGGTATCCATAATAACCTATCTGAAGAACCCTAGCATTATAATTATCTAGATGGTATCAACAGCCTTGATGCACAAATAATAATAATAAAAAAGCTAAAGGCATTTCATTTCAATTTCAAACTTATGTATAGACTACAAACTTTGATAAATTGTATACTGGGCAATTTTTAACAATTCTACAATAGTAAATTTAGTGGTGAAGATATAAACTTGTAAATCTATATTTAACAAGCCAGCAAACATTTCTAGTCATGTAACAATTCATACAATACTATCTAAATATTGTAAATCCCACTTAATATGTAAATAACACTGCATGAAACCGAAGCTGTTAAGTAATAGAATCCAAACAAAACTTGGAGATAAAACATCAGCCAAGGTATGAGATCACATATAACTTGTTTTACATTTAAGAAGATAATGTCAATGTTAAACTCTAGCCAAATTTTGAGAGGCAGTGCTTTATTTTCCAACAGCATGGCATAAAATACTGGAAATATGAATACAGTTTCACGGTTCAATAAATTGATACAACTGTATTTATCTAATAATAAGCCTATGTCTGGTAATAAGCCCACTGATACTTATTGCTGTTCAGTAGAATCACCAACATCTGCTAATTCTGTCTCATGTAACTAGCCCAGATGCTTTGTGCAGGCAGTCAAACTTGTTCACAAGTCACCGTGTCAACAAACCAGTTTTTTAACTCCCTCCATCATAGCAGTTAAATACCTTCATACAAATTGATCCTGTATTGAATGTCGACCTGCATTTAGAGGCCACTTAGAGGATTCACTGAAGGTGGTCTCTGAACACAGGTTTGGAATCTGAACTTATATGTATGTGAGAAAACCATTATTACAGATATTGAAATATCATTTGTTGGTACCTGTTTACCAATTAATCACCTCACCAGGACACAAACTCCAAAATGTAGAATATGGAACTACAATGGTGAATGCAGAATCTCATGAATAAAGTAATTATTGACATCCTTTTTCAAATAATTCAATAAACACTATTTACCTTGCATAAACATGATGTCATGTTTTGTTTATATTTTGTTTTCTTCTGGGTGTCTTGGTAAACATGCTTATATATGTGTTGATGTTTATTCCAGTCAAGAAATCCATGTTTAATTTTCTGCATGACACAGGTAAAATAGTATTACATAATCTGAGTATTTTAGTATTTAAGATCTGCATTCAAAAAGGTTAGGATATTTTGTAGAATTAAATGGATTGTATCCTTGATGCCCTCATGGTCATTTAGAAGGTTTCCATTAAATATTCTTTTACAAGAAATATTTTAACTTAAAAGTAAGGGATAAATCTAATTTTTAAATTCAGGACTCAAAATTCTGCAAAAATTTGAAAACAAACCAGACTCTTGGTGTTTTGTCACTTGCAGATTATGTAAACAAAAAATTGATATGTGCAACCTGAACACTTTTGGAAACTTTGGAATCAAACCTTGGCTACTTTCTTTTATCTTCCTTCATTAAACAACAAATCATTTGGTGAAATAGAAAATGAAAGGTCTATGAATAAACTTCCAACATATGGTAAAATTTGATAAAATGAAAGACTATTCCTGATCGCTTTCCCCATCACTGGAGAAGTTCTGACCGGCCAGGCTAGCTGGAGTCCCTGAGGGTACAACCGTGTGTGACATCTGGCGATAGTGGTCAATCCAGTCCTCTAACATCCGCTTAACCAGTAGTGGACGCTTTCCTATTTTCTGGAGGGCCACTAAACTACCACCCTTTGTAACGGAGACATCAAGCCACTCTCTTAATAAAGGTTCTTCTCGTCCTACCTGTTACCAAAAGCAAATGGCAACCATCAGTAAAATTAAGGGAGATTACACATATCACAGACATGAAGTAATGTTAAATGGCTATCTTGAGTCTCGTCAGAATAAACCTGGGCAAATGTATAGCAGTGTTCAGTATCTATGGGGAAAAAAAAGAAAGTAAAAAAAAGTGAAACTGTTGGACATTTAAAGTCATATTGAAAGGTTTGTTATTCAAATCCTGGAATAAATATGAATGCAACTGACTTAGGTAATATTTGTACAAGAAATTGACACGACATTTACACAGTATTCACTTAAATTCCTAAAATAGCCAGTAAGAAATTTTAACGTATATCACCAGTGTCACTAGCTCACTTTTTTTCCTAAGGTCAACCTGATATCAACCATATCATGACCTGCTTATATAATAGAAAGTACTGAAGCCTTGGATATTTCTGTCAGTATTTTAGAATTTCAAGAGCAATTTTTGGATCTAATATAGTCAAAATAATTTCTAAACATAACACAGAACATTACTGAAGTATATACAATCCAATTGATTTTAAGGTCCAATGGTGAACCTTTAAAGCACTCTGTCAACCTGGAATTTGAAGGATCATGACCAGATATTAGACGACATGAGGTTGGCAATTCTGTTTGTTGAATTTAAATCAATAGCCAGCAAGAAATTTCAACATTTTTCACCTAAGTTCAAACAATGATAAGTAAGAAATTTCAACTGAAGTTCATGCAATGATCAATTAGAAATTTCACCATGGTTCACTGATTTCACACAAAAATCACAAACTGTGTACACAGTGCTTACTTAGTTCCCTAAACTATTTTATGTTGCTCATGAAGTATATACTACCTCTGATGTCCTCAAGAAATGCACGGGAAGCAGTTTTCCTTCTACATCAACTAAAGGGAGGTAAGCCACCTGTTCCTCCTCAGAGGTCTCAACATCTGCTCCAGCCCCAATGACATCACCTGTGGTCATTTCCATGGGAACAAGGGCTGAGAAGTGGCCACGTGTGTAAGACAGAGTGACAGGCGATTTCCAGCAAAACCCTCTCTCCCACAGTAAAGGCAGGTATACACCTAAAACAATGTCGATGTTATAACACCAGTTTATACTGCACATTATTTCACCAGTATCATCATGTCAATGCGTTATACTGCGAGAGTGTCAGAATAATATATTGCAGGTACCTTCCATACCACATGTCATAAAATGTTACAGCCAGTATACCTTGAAACTAAACCTTTTCTTGTAAATGTCAAAGTTTCCTTTTAATACTTTTTTTTTATTTGATAAAAATACTTGATATTGACATCGATATGCTGTGCTGCATGTATTCCATGATCTACATTTTTCTAAGACAGATTACACAGATCCTATCATACTTTATATATATTAATACCAATTCTTATATTTTTATGACTGAAATATAATATTTGTAGAAATAAAATAAAACATATGATTTCTCCATCTCCTCTCCTCATTATTTTCTTCTAATCTAAATCTATTGAGGGATTCATGAGATATTGTATACACAAGCTTTTTATTTCTAAAGCAGTCAATGGTGACCTTGACCTTTAACCTTGACTCATGACAATCAAAATCTGAATATGGACAAACTGACAGACAAAGTGATCACTATATATGTACTCTCCTTACCTTTAGTTTAAATTTTATGTTATATATATGAAGACCCTACCTTGGAATCGGGCGAGTCCAATAGTTTCACCTCTGAAGCTTTTAACATACTTGACCCCATACACTATAACTGGTCTCCTGAGAATATGAGCTATGGCAAAAATGTGGATTTGTTCTAAAGAAGCACCTGTGAAAAACAACAAGAATACTTCAGTAAACAAACATCATATTAACATGACAAAACAATCCATTTCTAGGTACATTAGGTATACCAAGATAATGTTTGACATACCAAATGTACAGTTAATCTAATTTTGTATATTACGATTTTATTTGGATGACATTGGGTGTATCTGAAATACATAACTTTATCACCCAGTTTAGTGCTATTCCAGTAAAACATCCCTTCCACCCTAGACTACAAACTTACTTTGTTTAGGAGTTTGACACAATATTTGGCTCCTAAATTTATGATGTGGTGAAAAATTTCAACTTTGGGAAACTTGTGGTGCAAGAATTTTGAAAGCTGGTGTGACTCTTACATGGAGAGAAGCAATTTCTTTAGTAGTCCTGGGATTAAGCAGATATCTAGCTAATCCAAGAAAAAGTTATATTAACCAAAATCTATGTATCAAATTTACGCTAATATTTACCAGACATGACATTGTACCTAAGTATTTAACAGACATTCGTGTACATACCTGTGCTCTAATATTTATCTTACTTTTTTTGTACATAAAATGTATTCTAATATTTAACAGATTTGCATGTACATACAAATGTATGCTAAGTACAAGACCTTTACCTGGAGTACAAGCAATACTGAGAATGTCTGCCCAGTCGTTCTGCCACTGAGCCTCGTCAAGAGTAAAATGAAGCATTTCTGCATGCATGGCCTCATACTCCTTCCAGCGAGGATAAAACCTGTTAGCAATAGTAAATTTGTATATCACATTGGATAAATTACCAAAAGTCAAAGTGATAAAAAGGACTTTCATTTTTGTGTGTGTGAACATTAATATTATGTTGTGCACACTGTTTCTCTGTTTTTGTAAAGTAATTGAAATATGAATTATACCTTACAACCTTACTCTGTGAAGACCACTTATTCATTTGATTAATTCATTAGATTTTGATTTACATGCTCAAGAAGAGAAGTATCAAAACTGTACTTTTGACTCAAGTTATCTCCCCTGATTTATCTATCCCAATTTGTCTACCCTGACAGAACGTACATCATGGCTGCATCACTGAGGCTGTCTGACATTGCTTTCCTTAGTGTGTTGTCAGAGTCAAAAATGCCCCATGTGGACTGGAGGATGGAATCAAGGAGGCAGTCTCCAGCAGTTCTATTCCACAGTGCATATAGACGACTGCCAAGTCTATCTGTTAGCTCCACACTCCAATTCACGACATACTCATCCTCTAATTCTGTAACAAACAAAAGACATTCAGCAGTAAGCACCAAAACATCTGTCAAAACTATTTCTAGATCTTTTATAAAGTAGTTTTTGTTGAAATATTCAAGTCTGCTATACATCATTATGCAACTAAAATGTAATATAAATGTTTTTTTTTCAATGGTCAAATTTTCAGTTCTAATACAAATGTTTGTGGAAGAAAAAATATTTTTCAAACAAATCATCCAATGACCTATGGTTGATTTGTCACTATATTTTATATGAAGGTATCATTTAATGCAGTTAAGTTTCATTCTTGAAAATAGAGAAAAAAATCTGCAAATTACAGGAGAATGAAATCACATTAAACATAGCATGAAAACTTCATCAGATTTATAAGTGAAATAATTTATCATTTTATAACATTTATCGCTTAAAAATCTTTAGGGACTCTTTTTCTTGTTTAATTTTTGAAAAAATAATAGTATGACTTTTATATGTATTATACGTATACATACATAGTAATAACTCTATCTTATATGAACAATATTTGCAGGCAAATATACCTTTTTGAACATCCCCATCCAGGATTTCATCAAACAGTTGACTCTGGACAGTGTTTGGCAAGTCTCGAACACCTGAACGATGAAGAGAAAGAAAACAGCTGAAACACAACTAATTAAAACATCAGGAAAAACGTGCAACAATTTAAACTCAACATAAACATGGATAAGTTGAAGTTGACGGGACCAAATGAACTGTTCAACTAATTTGAAGGTTCGACTTATCCATGTTTCTATGAAAGGAGACATTTTGCATTGCAGATTGCAGGCTGTATATATTACAGTAAAATCATTCATTTTAACTGGAGATTTATTTTCGTTGACTTCTTTGGTACTCTTAATCCAGGAACTGACATGTCCATTCCTAGATAATAAACAGATCAAATTTGAATGGATTACAGTACTAGTGGATTTATTGGGCAAAATTTGGCCACAAAACAAATGCCAATGAAAATGCACATTTTAGGAAAACTACCAAATTTCAGCCCCACAAAAATATATGAGTTTACAGTATACTGTATTTCTAATTCAGAGTTTAATTTCCTGAATTGATTTTTATTTCATTAATTTTGTTTGACTGTATATTATATGCATGGATACATGATAGACACCATGCAGAGTTTGTGTTCAAGCCATCATGTGTCTCCATGACATTCTAAAGTGATGATATTGAAAATATAATGTACCATGTTTCTTTTCAGAAGTTCCATTCAAACAATAATGGACAACTTGCCATCTAATTTTGAAAAGGACCCCATTTATGAAAAATACAGTGAAAACCCTCACCATAATGCAATCATTAGAATTGGATAAGAAGTGGAATGTCATGTGCATATAACACCAGATACATTACCTGTTGGTATAGCAAATGTGACACAATCTGTCAAAAACTGGCATGGAAACTCTCCCTTTCTCTGTCGGAGCATGGCTAATATTTCACGCCGGATTTCTGAAGCTAGATCAGCACTAAGATGAGATGGAAGTCGTTTAACAGCTTTTGAAGGGGTTTCAGTGCTGGTGAGCAAAGCTGCAAGCATGTCTTCACGACGGAACCTGATGGCAAGATGGACTAAAGTATATCCTACTTCAAATGCACTTGGTCTGTTGAGCAGAGTTACCTCCTCCTGTGTAAGTTGTCTTGCAGGATCCCCACCTGAGCTAACAAACGTCTCCACAGGGCGAGAGTCACCATTAACAACGCCATTACATGCACTTAACCACAACCAATCGTCTTCTTGCATGCAATTTCTAATTTGTTTAAGTTTACGTTCAGTTTCCCGTTTCTCCTCCTGAACATGTAATCCTGCTGAAGAGCATGCTGTCCCTATGTCTGGTGAACGTGCCCCAAGCTCACGTCCAGATGTACCAGCTGCTAGGCTACTTGTCGGGGAAATAGTTTGTTTTGTTATTACACTTGATTGTTTGAGCGTCGAGCCTGAGAGGTTTGATGTATTATTTTCCAAACCTGTAGTCATGGAGGTGATCTCCGGTGACGATCTTCCTCTCTGTAAACCACACATGACACATCGTGCAGACTTCGGCCAATTTTCATATGTACATATTTTGCATGTCCATTTTACCTTTGCATAACAAGTTGCAAGGGTCTTATTGTTAATATCATTAGTATAAATGGCTTTAGCTGCCTTTGGTGATGAGGGAAACTCCTTGTTTTGAGTAGTCTTCTTTCGAGCTCTCTGACTCTCTGCTGCATTTACTCCTGTTGGTGTGATAGGTGGTGATCGTTCTGTTGTAGGACTAAGACTACCAGAGACAGAAGGACGGGTTTTGGGCGTCAAGCACTGAGAACACTTAGTTGTTTTGGGCCAGTTGAGAAAAGTGCATGATGTACATGCCCATTTATTGGAAGGGTCATGGCTAGAGCTACTTGATCCAGATAAAAGATTGCTGTTGTTTCCCTCCTTATTCTGGCCCATGGTGGCGGCCATCTTGTAAATATCCTGCTCCTCATTATGTCTGTCTGTGATAAAGCTTGGTGGTCTGTGGGCGTGGCATAACGTGCATCGTTTGGTGACAGGATAGTTCTCATAGGTGCAGTATTCACACGCCCACTTTTCTTTTTCTGTCATCTTGATCGCCCATGAGCCCCGCCCATTCAAATCTATAACAAAAGAAACTTTATATGTGAACAACAGTCTGAACTTTGTAAGTTATACTATATATATTAAAATGTGTCACTATCAGACAAATAGAAAATGTGTGTATACATTTTTTTTTTATGTGAACATATAATATATATATTCAAGGCAATCTGCCCCTTTATCAAGACACAAAATATAACATAACTTATATCACATACAAAGAACATGAAATAGATATTAAGTTAAAGACTACAATCAAGAATGGTAGTGTAAATTTAGGCATCTCAATAATTCCTTTAGCTGATGGACACCGAAGGCCCTAGTTGTCCATACTTTTATTATTACGTCATTGATCATATATTCATTATAGTAGTCCTCATCCAACAAACATCTGTTTGCTAGGATCCAGTACCAATATTAGACCATGTGAATATATATATACCATCTATATCAGCTACTAGATTATATATCATTTGCAATCCAAATATTGAAATCATATCACAATAGATGATAATAACCATATTGTACATTACCATACATCAATCAATATCATAAACTGCATTTCTTGTCAGAAATCTATATGTAAGAAGGAGGGAAACTATATATAATCAAAATTTTAGGCTAAGATAGACAAAGTACGAATTATTCATACCTTGTCTCTTTCGTTTATTTAAAAAATCAAATATTATGAACAATATAAATAAATGCAGAATTTCCCTCGCCATAGAGATGAAAACAGTAACTAAGAAGATCAATCTGAATTTGAACTTAAAATCAGTCTATATACAATTTAGCTGTGGATATGTAATTATAATAAAGATATTTGATAATATTCCATTGTGCATGGGCTAGACTATACTCGGCTGTACATGATCTACATTGCACAAAAATGGAACAAGCTTCATAACAAAATCACTCATAGTTTATATAATTTGATAAAAATAGCCAAAAATATAGTCATGGTTAATTTAGTGCAGGACATCATGATTTTTCGCTGTCTTCATGTTGACATTTATCGCATTCTGTTTCCTGGTGGGACTTTCCGGGTCATCTTGCATTTTCAAATTAACTCATCATCGTAATTCATTAGACTTAATAAAATGGTAATTTTACAACCCATTTTGCACTCTTACGTCCATGTACAAATTTTTCTTCCTTATCTAATAGCGAGACATCGTTTGTCAACAAAAGTTTCAGGTCATGTAGATTATTCACTACGCTAAAGCGTTCCTAATTCACTATGCGAATCTAAAGCAATTATATTACACGTATAAGCATCAAGAGCATATTATGAATCATAAGACAGCTAGATATGGCGAAAATAACAAAAAGTTTACCTCCATTCTGCTCTTATTTCTTCAACTAGTCCATTTTTCACAAACCAAAACATTGTGGGCTGCCATGTTTATATTGATGAATGACGTCATTATCATGACAGAAAAACTTACGGAAAGAAATTGCAGTGAAACAAAATAGGCCGAGTTACTTCCCCTGATGTATTTTCGCGGCCACGACTCAATTTTCCTAAATCGGTTTGACGAGGGTTGTTCGTTTGTTAAAAAAGACTGGTGATGTCTTGCTTTCTGAAGAGGTTAGCTCTTTGAGACCTTTTATAAGTACAGGTTGGCCCCGATTTATTCCTGGAATGTTATGTTAAACCGGATTCTCAGACCCGCATAAACGAGTAGGCTACAGGCCAATGGAGTCCCGTTACATTTTGAAATAGCTTAGTATATATACTTATTCTCTGTCTTCTCTGAATTGGTATTTTTGTTGAAACTTCCTCTCACACGTTTTGTTTTTATCACGGACCCATTTTGAAAGCGTGTCAATTATTTCATCATTACCATATGCAGAGACGTCTCTGCCATATGTAAGCTTGCAGCTCACTGACTCAAAGTGGTTTTTTTCAGTTAGTCATCACATTATCCTAAGTGGGATTGTAAAATTGTAAATTTTTAAAAAAAAATATCCAGTCTGTATGAAAACTTCCGTTGGGCCCTGATGTAATGCGTTAACACAGCGTCAGAAGAGGAGGAACGTTTTTGTTTCTCTCCACAAATTTCATTTTTCATGATGTGTGATATGTATAACACAAGTCTATGCTTTCCCATTTTAGTGCATATCCTGAAAAAATTATGCTTGTTGATATGAGATATGGAAACGAATTTAAATGTTGGCTTAATTACACTTAATCAAGGGTTGACATTCTCTTAAGTGAAATATTGCAAAAAAAATCCCAAAAATTTTGCTTGTTAAATTAGCACTAAATTTAAATGAACACTTGCATGATAATTACATTTACTGCTGGTTTACCTTTAGAATTCTCCCAGAACTTAAGAAATAAACGATTTGAAAATAAAAATGTCACAGAGTGACCTTGAGTCCCACTTTAAATAGAACTAGGTATGCATATTTGAGTAAATATCTTCACTGTCACCCTGGTAGTAAAACTGTGCATGGTCATTGTGACTTCAGCGTGTTTTCAGGCAATCATCTTGCCCAAGATGTCCTAGTAAGTTTGGTGATCCAATATATTAAACAGGATAGAAAATATGGTTAAGACATTTTCTTTGAATGGGGTTAAAGGTCAAAATATAGGTCATCCCAATCAGTTCTCCATATAGCACATTTGAAAGTTCTATATAAAATAGGGTTGGAAATATGTCCAGGATGACTTTTTTGTCGTTTGAAAAGAATCGAAATAAAAACATAGATCACAGTGACCTAGAAACAAGCTTTTTTCTATTAAAAGGGTCAAAGATCAAAATATAAATTAGAATGATCTTGTTATGTCTCAAAACACACATCATGCTCATGGCGTTTCTGTAATATAGAATTGTCCCTTTTTTTACACAAAAGTGTAACAAATGTTCCGTTTATACAGTAATATTTCATTTTTAAAAAAATTGAACAATTTTAAGAATGTAACGGACATTTCATAACAGAATTATATTAATCTTAGTACACACACTACAATATCACATTATTTTATAGTTGTTAGGTTTGGTCTATGCCATCTCCCTTGCCTCTATATTTAAGTTTTTTAAACAAAATCAACATTAATTATATAAAAATATTTCTTATAATCAAACTAATTCGAACTAATGAAAACCTCTAACTACATATCTGTAACTCAACACTTAATTAATTTATCAAATAAATTATACACACGTTTTTGTGTAAAATTTGTAATTTTCATAATTGTTTTTCTAGTTGAAATAAGGATTTCAAATCCGTGACAGATAAAGTGAAATGGGCGTCAGAAAAAGACCCACTTATATTAAAAGCAACCAACTGAAATGAAAACTTCTCAAACATGCAACACCTCCCCACCCAGGTGATATCTTAAAACGTTCTGGAAATGATCTTCTCTCCCTCAAAATTTAGGATTTATCCACTTTGATTTTCAGCTCCCACCGTTTACAATATTCGTTTAAAATATTCAACCTGATTTGCAAACCGTCACCAGAACTAGTTCTCAGACATATCGTCAGCTTTTTGAAATCCTGTTTGACACACCCAGTGACATTGACTTTGGTTCACAATATAAAACACGTTTTTCTTTAGTACTCAAGTTCTTCTGAAATGATCTACGAATCCAAAACACAAAACTCACCATATTGATATAAAATTGCCGTAAACGTACATATCCTTCTATAATTTATTATCTCAATTTAACCCAGTTTTATCTTATTTCTGTCTGGACAAACATTTCGCCTTGAGCAACACCGAGTCCTGTATGAACGAAGCATTTTCTCATTATTCGTCATAAACTGTATCTGTCGCTCACTTCGTATTGATAGAGATGAACACTTATAAATGTCAGATCTGTGTTGATTTGGTTGTGACCTTGGATAAGATACTTTAACCTTATTGCTGTGGAAGACATGTGACGGGTCTCCAGTATGTTGTTCAGTGAGGTATCATCAGCCACTACAAGGAGACTCCGGCTTAAAAGGACTAATAAAGAAAACAAATGAATAAAAAGTGGACAAAGTGTCTATATTCTCTGACCCAAATTTGGAAAAGGCCAACTGTCTCCTAAGGCAATTTCGTGGTCAATCAAGTCCTTTAAGTTATCTAATGAAAAAAATTAGACCTGGCACCAACAAATTATTTTTATATAGAGTCCTTCATAGAGAGGTCTTTGACCAATTGTAACAGAAAGAAAATGGGAATCATATTTTGACATTTTTCCGTTTATTTATTTATTTATTTATTTATTTATTTATTTATTTATTTTACATATTTTAGTGATTTAATTTTTCTGATCTTGTAAAGAGTTGCCATGAAGGAGCAAGAGAATGTCACATAAAGGTACATGATCTGTCCGTTTACTGTATAGATACCTTTACCTGCTGTGTATATATATCTGTTTACCTACAATATCACAGACTCTTTCCTTTATCACAGCAAACACAATTAACCAGTAAATTTTAAAGATCAGCCTCAGTGTAAGATAACAGAGTTATTGTTTTACGAGACCTTTATACGGTCCCTGACGTATAGACATTCCACGGCGTGCTTTTCCCTAACTCTTGTCCTCGTATCACGCATATCTAATTTCTTGTTAAATATACAATATTTTGCTATAAAACAACAGCCTAGCCATACACCTGGTCACATTACTGAAGGGCATACCTGAAGACCACTCCTTCTGGCTACCTCTAGCAACGAGGGACGTTTTTATCCTGAGCTCGAATGTTTAGGATGCTTTCGATTGAAGAGGATATACTCAACCAGGTCATTAATTAAGTAATTCGAAATGTCTGTACATGGTTTCGAGGCTATTGGATCACACATGCTCCTTACACATGTGTACACATTCTATATGATAACTGTTGTGTACTGTTTAAAGCGTTGTGTAGATCTCGTTTGAATAATCCGTGATTAGAATAATTAATACAATGAGCTTAATGAAGAAGAGATCTAGCTTCGGCAAGAAGTATTCAGATACAATTTTCAACGTGAAAGATGAGCATCAGGGTACATACCGGAAATTGTCGGAAGAAGAGCAAGTGCAGATGAGGAGAGTAAACTCCGAAGAGTCTACACCTAAAGTTACTAAAAAACGCATACGTCCTTTGAGTTTTACTTATGGCCAAGAAATTGCTCGATCAATAAGTGAAAAATTCAAAAGAAAGTCGAAAGGAAGTCCCAAAGGTTCGAAAAATGCTAAATACCCTACTTCCGGTCAACCAGAAGAAACCATCGAGCGTAGAGACAGTTTCCCCGGAAATAGATCGACAACAGTACAAAAGGTGACAAAGGAACCATTAGAAGGAGAAAAGTACAGTCTGGGCGGAAGTTCCGATATTCCATCTGAAAATGTGTCGGAGACATTTCGTTGTAGTAAGGAAATAGAAAAGAACCCGAGAAGACAGGTTGTGAGTGCCGAAATGAATATTCGTCCAGTTTCGGCGTCTTTTGTTGAAGGTTTGGCAAAGGAAACAACCACACGTCCATTAACTCCGCCACTTCCGGTTACAAATGTGAATTTAACTCAAATATCGGACAAAACTGATGTCAGAGGCGAGAATAAACGTGACAACAACAAAAGTACAAAACGAAGGAAAAAGAAAAAGACACGTTCATCGTCGTCTTCATCGTCGTCTTCATCTTCTTCATCTTCATCGACCGATACCGAGGCCGAGAAAAAACCGAGTGACAAAGATGTCGGATCAAAACAGCGATGTATTTCGTATTATGGTCCGGTTGTGATGGACGGGAAGACTTTGAGGCTTCCAACCGAGGGGACGGGCATGCGCAGATACCACAGCCTTACTCTCCCCTGCTGGGACGGGACCGTAATTAAGAATGGTATGTGGGTTTTTTATCACATTAATCCCCACTACATATAATTGATTTACTGTGTATATCATTAGCTATATACACAAATAAACATCTTTTTTCAGTAACGTTCTCTCAGGTGCCAAAGGCTATTACAGAGAATATATCTGTGTAAATACGACACTTTGAACAAAGACAGGATTTATAATATTTCAGTTTTCATTTTATCATTCGTTCAGGGTTTCAAAATCAATTTTATAGGTCGTTATTTTATAATGAGATTATTTACATATATATTTGATTTACATAACTCACATAGATAATTGATGAAAAATCCTTTCAAACTTATTGCCAAATTAGATTTTGAATGTTAGAAGCATGTGATAAAAGTTGATATGTCCTTGTCGGGCGCTTAACCATTTTGGTTTGGAGGACCATTTTAAAGTTTTTTTTATGAAATACCAGTTTTGATATCAAAGCATAATAGATCACAGGCTTGAAATGTATTGTATTTCATTCTGTTAAAAGTACAGAAATTTAAATAAACATGAATTGTGTGGAAGGGATATATTCCTCTCGTCCGAACACGACGGTTATGTAATAACGAAGAGGCCCTTGGATCTGTATCGTTCATCTGTTGATTTGTTTTTATTGACAAACATATTATTACGTGTTACGTGGGGGCAAAGGTCGGATCTGCTATTTCGAAAGAAAGCAAGAAAAAAGAAAGAAAGCAGGCAACAAATCAGTTTTTCATGACAACGAAACTTATTCGAGGCCATTCATATTTGAACTCGTTTGTCAATCACTCTCTCAGAAGAAGTTTTGTAATGATTTAAATATCTTTGACCCTTGTGACCTTGAAGGCCAATTACTTGAACAAACTAGACTGCCCAGCACCCCATTGATAGACTTATATTGATAGATCACACGGCATGGCTTTCTTCTTTTTCTAAGTCAGTGTAAGAAACGGTAATTATGTGTGCAGATCTATATTTTCTTTGTTGTAGTAATGCATGGCATGTATTTTATATGTAGGGAAAATATATTTTTTGTGAGTTATCTCTGGAGCAAAGCAAAACGTGCATGTCCTCTTTTTCAGTAATTCGTGTAAACTCTGCGGTACATTCTTTCAGCGAGACAGCGGGATAACAACTGTGGAAATTGTGGGTAAAAAATGAACGAAATGAACCCCCCCCCCCCCAAAAAAAAAAAAAAAACAAACAAACAAACAAAAAAACACACCAAGATGATGAGTAACACTCATCAAAAGCGTACATGTGTACTCTTTGTTGTATTTTTATTCATTTTTGCAAATATTGTCATTTAAACTATTTAGAATGACGGTTGGAATTCATACCCTGAAGTATTTATTTATTTATTTATTTATTTATTTATTTATTTATTTATTTATTTATTTATTTATAAATATCAAAAGTCATTTGTCTTATTGACTACATCCAGGCCCATTTGAAAAAGAAATGTTGAATTTCATCATTATCATACATAAATGATAAAGCAACTTTGTTTAAAAACATAGTTGATGTTCTGTTCAAGATAAATGAAATAAAAATAAAAACGCATTTTATCCGGATAAACTCAATTCATTAGTACAAATGGAAGTAAATCCGAGTAAGACAATGCCCACGGCATTTGGACATACCTTCGCTTGAGACACAACACAGAGCGTGGGACGGGCAAGTATCTGGTTTCAATATGACAGCTGGTTTTTCTTGTCACCTAACCCACGTGGAGTGAAATATGATGTTTTCATAACTTGAATGCCTATATTTACATAGAACATATGTAAGCGTTTTTCACAACGTTTTAAACAGACAAGGTACAGGATCGTATTTTCTAGACGAACACAATTAAAATCATGTTGTTCCTTTCTTCACATTGTGATTTTACAGTTTGTTTTCCTTGTCATAAATTCCGTGTTTACTGATGAATATTGACTCTGATTTACAGTCGTGTCCTGTCAACAATGATAGCGGCCATGCCAGCCTATAACTTAGAACACTGTTAGCTTTAAAATTACCAGCGCGAGACACCTGACACGGCCAACAAAACAATACAAAGAAACCTGTTTGACCATGAAATTAGACCGTAAATTCTGCAAAGGACTTATTTTCGCGAGGAATATTTTTTGTACCGTCCACTCTACAATGCATATGATGAAAATTTTAATTTCTTGAAATGAAAATTTCGTCGGGGTTTTGTGACCATTGATTATAATTTACTTAAGTGTACTGTTTTTTTTCCTCTGTAATTTCTTAATAACAATGCACTTCTCTTTCTGCAGAAATATTCCAGGATAAAGAAACTACCTTTGACTTAAAATAATACAAAATAACTCGAAGATGATAATTTGGTTTCTCGTAATAAAAATCGTGCACGATTTTATTTTGTGCTCGGCATTTTATTTGTCTCATGTTTACGGTCTTGGAAAATTAATTTTGTAATTGGGACAACTTTTAGACTAACTTAAATGAATATGGACAAGGCTGCACGACCATTTCTTTAAACAGATTTTTAAAGAAAAAAAATCAAGAAGAGAACAAATATCATGAACATCACTTTTATTTCAACGGGGGTAGTATGAAAATGCAAAACTTTTCAAAACCTACTAGTTTTTAACATAATATATAGCTAGGTCTGTCATTCAGTCCTTGGGGAAGACTGAAATAAGAGGGTTGGGAAGGAGACACATGCATGTACGGTGATGCAACATGGCGAGGTACTGTGTCTATCTTATTTGGCTTGCAGGGGTCAGTCGGTAAGCTGACAAAACGAGTCCAGTGCAACCTAACCATAGACATACAAGTGTCCTCCACATCTCGGGCAAACTAAACAGTTATATTACAGGTTTACAAAGAAGAAAGGGCCCGTAAGATATTACAATCACATACCTCATAAAACGGTTCAGAAAGAGTCCATCTGAAGGACTATTCTGTTAAATATTTCGGTACTTGAGATTGGTGTCAGAGTAAAGGAGCATCAGATCTCCCTCGGGTGTGATTGGACGACGCCTTTGATGTCACGTGATCTGTTTCCATGTTGGAAATTTTGTCTTGTAGTATTTTAGTAAGAGAAGATTCGTGATAAGCGAAGCAGTATTATTTCCTAACAAGAATATACCACTGTTTTATTCATATTCCCACCGAGATAGTAGGTGGAGAAATTGTTGTTACAATCATCATCTGCTTTACTTGAAGGTCAGCTTCATACGAGCGAAGGACCATGATTTTGTTTTCTGGGTTTGTTGCTTCGTGAACAGACAAAGTCATTTTGAGGCAGGGTTTGCTTATAGCTGCTGGTGACCTCCTCACAGAACAACATACGCAAGGCCCATTGTATGTCGAGCAACAAGGCTCATTTAGAGGCGGGATCTCCTTGTAGTAGTTGCTGGCAGTCTCGCTGAACAAAATGCGGAAAACTCATCCCATATTTTCCAGAGCAGTCGGATTTATGAAGGATGAGGAGAAGTGGAGGCGGTGAGGGGAAGGTCGCTGGCCATTTCAAGTTTTTCGTCTCCGCGACGCTTCATAACGCTTTACGTTGTGCACGCGAGGGTGTGACCTGCATGGGGTAAAATCATCTGGTCACGGCTGTATGATAGCACTCAAATACCACAGATAAATTGGCCACACCATCCACAGACATCGTCTTCAAACCAGAAACAAGAACAAATAACAATCAAATTAAACACCATAGATTTCCTATAAATATATCTCAGGCATATATCACTTCTTTGTGATAAACACGATACATATTAAGGTTATCAAATCTTGTTAATATTTGTGAATTTTCCTAGTTTTATTTTGAGTGTAAAGTAATTGTAGGAGCGGATAAATCCGGATCTCAATTTAGGTATGGAAATTCTCTATTCAGTTTTATTGAAAGTATTTCCCGTCGTATGATAAAAAATTGTGCGAGAGAACATTTAGGTACGTACTTACATCACGGGTCAGAATATATTACTTGCCTCTCTGACTTCATATATATATATATTACGTATCACTTTGTTCATAGCTACGAAAGTTTTTCAATGCTATACAGAAAACTAGTAAAGTGTTTGACAACCGGAAAACCACTTTAAAGCCGAAGCTGTTTTCCGATTATGTATATACATTTGAAATAAAGTGATATATAAAAAGTTCCTCAAGCTTAAGTGGAAATTACAACTTATATGTTTATTTCTTTTTGTATGCAGCCGCGTAACAATTTGACCATATTGATCAACACTTCTATTGTGTTAAATCAATCAATATTTGAACAAGTTGAATGATGATCGATAAATCGATGAATGTGAATTTTTAGCAATTCTAAGCAAAACCCGGAGTAAATCAGAATTACATTTATTTGAATACATATATTCTACCAAATCTGGGATATCATACGTCACTTATATGTCAATTATTTTGTGTTATAATTATTTCCCTTTAATCTGGAATGAAATATTTTCTCGGAATTTGTTAAGTACATATGTAAGATATTTTTTCAGAACGTGCGGCTGGATTTAGAACTTTAGTACCTACACTCTGTAACGTTAAAAAACATGATAAGGCGTATTTTTGTCATTGCGGGATGACAAATCTACCGTCGTTAGGAGTATATTTGTTTCCTTGTTTGGATTTTATTTCTAGTTATAAATTACGGTTAGGTCGTAAGTATTCAAGTTTTTCTAAGTGAAAAAAGAAATATATCACATGTCCTTAATTTTACGTATCAGAAAGGTAACATATACCTCAAGTATCTATGTAATATGTGAGGTGGTATAACACGCTAAATAGATGTTACACAGTAATGATTAACACTGAAAAGGTTGTATCTTTCGAGCAAAAACAACCTATATATATATATGAAAATGAAATAAAGCATGCGAAATGAAATCCTTTCCATAATTTCCGTATACAAATACACCATTTTATTTTTTGTTTTTGTTAAAACCGCTAAGATTTTAATCATCGCCAAAATCAGTTTTCACATTTTCACAGTACACGTTAAGAATCATCCATCCTACTATT